AAAAAAAAAAAAAAAAAAAAAAAAAAAAAAAAAAAAAAAAAAAAAAAAAGAAAATTTCTTTCTCAATCAAGCGCGTAATTCTTTTTCATCTTCTCTTGATACACAAATTAGTTACAAAAAAAATTATATCCTCCCCGTCCACCTCTAAAACTTCCCTTTTTCTCTTCTCTTCTCTTCTCTTTCACCAGATCATTATCCCGTAAAAAAAAAGGGTTTATACACATTCCATTCGCTTCAACCAGTACTTTTTTTTGTTTTTTTTTATACACTGCTTCCCATCCATTTTTCCACTATGGATAGCTTCAATCAAACTGTGGAGTTGACTGGGTCGAGTCAACAATCTATCAATTTTCTAACATCAAACAAACAAGTCAATTTCCTATATCAATTGTATTTGTCAGCATCATGGGCTCAAATTATTATTGCGTTTGTGGTTTTGGTTTTATCATACGACCAAATCAAATACCAACTAAACAAGGGCTCCATCGCTGGTCCTAAATTGAAAATTTGGCCCATCATTGGCCCCTTTTTGGAATCTTTGGACCCTAAATTCGAAGAGTACAAGGCCAAGTGGGATAGTGGTGCTTTAAGTTGTGTTTCCATTTTCCACAAGTTTGTCGTTATTGCTTCAACAAGAGATTTAGCCAGAAAAATTTTATCCTCGCCGAAATATGTCAAGCCTTGTGTTGTTGATGTTGCAATCAAGATTTTGAGACCTACAAATTGGGTTTTCCTTGATGGGAAAGAACACACCGATTACCGTAGATCATTAAATGGTCTTTTCTCACAAAAGGCCTTGGAAGTGTATATACCAGTTCAAGAAAAGTACATGGATATTTACCTCGAACGGTTTTTGAACTACAATGGTCCTAGAGAGTTTTTCCCAGAATTTAGAGAATTGCTTTGTGCATTGTCATTGAGAACTTTCTGTGGTGATTACATCACTGATGACCAAATTGCCTTGATCGCTGACAACTACTTCAGAATCACTGCCGCTTTGGAATTGGTTAACTTCCCCATCATTATCCCATACACAAAGACTTGGTACGGTAAAAAGATTGCCGATGATACTATGAAGATATTTGAACATTGTGCTGCCATGGCCAAGACCCACATTGGCCAAGGCGGTAAACCAACTTGTGTTATGGATGAGTGGATCTACCTCATGAAGGAAGCTAAGGATAAACATTTGGATGATCCCGAATCAAAGTTGTTGATTAGAGAATTTTCCAATAAAGAAATTAGTGAAACCATTTTCACGTTTTTATTTGCTAGTCAAGATGCTTCGAGTTCTTTAGCTTGTTGGTTGTTTCAAATTGTTGCTGATAGGCCAGATATTGTTGCTAAGATTAGAGAAGAACAATTGAGAGTAAGAAATGGAGATTTGAATGTCAAATTGGACTTGTCCTTGATTCAACAAATGAAGTACACCAACAATGTCGTTAGAGAAACACTCAGGTACAGGCCACCAGTGTTGATGGTGCCATATGTCGTTAAGCAGAGTTTCCCAATAACTGAATCTTACACGGCACCAAAGGGATCCATGGTTATCCCCACGTTGTACCCGGCATTACACGACCCAGAGGTATTTGAGGATGCCGAAAGTTTCATTCCTGAGCGTTGGGAAAATCCTACTGGAGATATGGATAAACGTAATTGGTTACCATTTGGTGTTGGCCCACACGTGTGTCTTGGACAAAAGTATGTCTTGATGTTGTTTACTGGTATGCTTGGGAAGTTTCTTATGGGGGCCGATTTGGTTCATCACAAGACTGAATTGAGTGAGCAAATCAAAGTGTTTGCTACCATTTTCCCAAAGGATGATTTAATTCTTGAGTTTAAGAAAAGAGACGTGGTTTAATGTAGAGGAGGAGGAGGAGCAAACTCTTGAATAATATAGAATGTGGAATCTTGTGTGTAGTTGTAGTTAATATTTGACAGAAGATAAAACAGAGAAGAAAAAAAACTACAGTAGAACAGTCACTTGATAGCAAACCTCTTTTCATCAAGAAGCATGACACAAGCTAGCCTTACCATGGACACAAACAAGCCTACGACGCCAGCCACAGCCAGTCAATCCAATTATGGCAATGCAGAGTCAGAGCAGCAACAACAACAACAACAACAACAACAACTCCCACCCATAGTCTACCCCAAACGCAAACGTAAACGTCAACTATTCACAAAGGACATTGAAAACCTACTATACGCAATGGGCGATCGCCCTTATTCACTAGATTCAACCGTGTCTGCGCTCGAAGACATCTTAGTCGACTTTGTATCACGGTTATCATACACCATGGTCCATTACGCTTCTTCACAGGGTCGAAACCGGATCAAGTTGAATGACTTGGCGTTTGCGTTGCGCAATGATCCGTTGAAATTGGGTCGATTGTTGTATATCTTGGAGCAGAGTCATAAGATCGAGCGAGCTAAAAAGTTGTTTGACGAGGAGCAAGGAGGAGCGGGAGAAGCGGGAGGAGCAGGAGAAGCAGGAGAAGCGGGAGAAGTGCTGAATAAAAAGGGCGTAGTGCATGGCAAATTTGGCGATGGCGATGATGTTGATGATGATGATGATGATGACGAAGAGGAGGATGACGAAAAGGAGGATGATGACGAAGAATTTGGCGAGGGTGGTGCAGAGGGTAATGGCGGTGCTTATGGTGATGGAGAAGATGATGTCGAAGGCAGAGGCGAAGGCGAGACTGGTGCTGAAATGAGGCAAAGAAGAGGCCGCGTCGATGAAGATGTGTCCGGGAAACGAGGTAGGAAGAAGAAGGTTGAATTGGATGCAGATGGCAAACCGAAGAAGAGAAAGTATAAAAAGAGAAAACTTGAAGATGGACTGAGTAAAGGGGACAACTAATTTCAACGTACAAAATGATAGTGTATATACTCCTCTCTAATAAACACAAGAAAACAAAGTATATAAAGTCTTATTTTATTACAAAGAAGATGTTTGGTGAATTCAGCATTCTTGTCTGCGTCGTAAGCGACTATCTTGATTGTTGTATATTGTGTAAAGTTCCGTTCGAGTATACCAAGGTTCAAGCTTGACCCTGATTTCCCTTCCCAAAGAATGCGACACATACTCATAATTCTTCAATTCATCACAGGTCAACCCAAAAAAAAGTGGCAGCCAACAACCCCAGACGGAAGTCTGGGGCTAAGCACTCTGGTGTTGTGCAAAAACAATCTAGTGGAATGATTTACAACATCCGGAAAATGTTCACACCACCAAATTTTTGATGCTGCTTCTGGGAAAATTTGTGCTCAACGTACAAATGGCCCTTGCTTCACTCTTGAGACTGGTCTTGGTAGTTATGACAGGAGATTTGAGTCCGGAATGCCTATACTCTTTGAGTGTGTAAACTGCAGTATGTGTGTATTTTGACCCTTCAAATTGTAAGCATAATTGCTCCAACTTTGGAAATTCTTGCGCCATCTCCGTGCAACTGAATACAACCTTCAATCGAAAATCTCCCATAACTGACAACTCACAAAGACAACTGGTGTCAAAATAGTCACATAACGGGACGTTTAAAGTCAAAGATCTCAGGACGTTCAAAATACGCAACACATGCAACTTCATGGTAAACAGACAACTTATATGGTATCGACCAAAAAAGATGAGAATTTGAAGTTCCGTCAAACTCTTTGACAAATGGAGGTCACTACGCTCGCAATCAAAGTACGTGTCTCCAATGCTAATCAGCTTGATATCGACTAATGATGGTTGTTTATAAGACCAAATGCACAAGGGGGAGATGTAATGAGTACTGCCACCAAGACTATCAAGATATTCTTGAATGAGCTGGATGTAACGTGGTCGACCAAATGAGTGCTGTCCTTTTTGATCAGAAATCGCAACTAGTTCAAAATACTTGATTTTGGTAAAATGTCGGAATATACAATCAATCATGGTCACATTGTGACCATACAATTCCAAGCGATTGATCTCTTGCGACAGATCCATCCTCATCAAATATCTCTCAAATGTGTCTGTGGATATTATTGAGTACTTTGTGCTCTTGCAATTGTTGAGATTCTTGGGGAAGTGGAAAGTCGAGTTTCGTTCATTCGGCTCCAACGCGTCGTTCAACTCCCATAGAATATAAACATAAATGTTCCGGTACAACTTGGGCTTGGCAACGTAGTAGAACTTGGAATGCAATGGAGCAAGGGCTAAAGTGTGGTATTGGTTGAGTTGGTGGAATATCTCCTCCAAAGCTTCATAATGTAGGCTGGTTAATCAAGCCATTATTGTGAGATCATTTGCAAATAAAGGTATACCAATCGAAATTTTTGCACCCCACTCATATCATTCAATTTTGCTGACTCTCTCCTATACTTTCCTCAATGGTGTAACTTGACATCATTCTTGGCGCTGGATTGGATTCCTTTGCGATGAAATTGAATCGGACCCTCAGTGTGGGCAGTATGGATGCCGTTGGTGTATTGGTTGGAGTAACATGAGATCCATCTAATGTACATCCAACAACATGAGCAACTTGTATTTTTGTTGTGGCCCTTGACGGTTCTTTTGTAGTATTTCATTAGCCATATAACTAAACGCTCTTCTTAAATATTTCCTAAGCTTACGTAATGGAAATTAGCAGTCTTTACAAAAGAGGACTTGTGGCATAGTAGAATCACTTTTCGTGATGAAATACTAAATACAGCAGCATCGGGACCATGACTTGCCTTAGTTACGAGATACAGAGAGGATGTAGGATACACAGAACCAACTTTGCAATGTTCAATTCCCAATCAACGTATTTAAATTGCCATGTTAACATGAAATCACCAAAGCACATTCGCAACTAAAACAGCATCTAGTGCTCTACAGCCCACCTGTTAGAGCATGTCTGTTGACAAGGTACCGGGCAAGGTATTTTCAGTACTAACCGAGTCGTTGCTAATCTAGAGTTGAACAGTTCAGTATTCAAAAGAGTACCCGCAGGTGGTAGTGCACGCGATCAGAATGAGGTTTTCAGCAGACAAAAAATATTCAGTTTATCTTGTGCTTAGTAAAAAGATATCAACTACAGCTACAACTACAACTACAGCTACAACTACAACTACAGCTACAGCTACAGCTCAATATACAAGTAGTGATTTGCACAGATCATCTTACAACAAATTCACACAACGCGTGCTTCAAGAATGGTAGATATAGAACATACGTGCCGGATCTGTCGAACGGAGGGGACCCCACTGGAACCCCTATATCATCCTTGTAAGTGTCGAGGTTCCATCAAATATGTCCACCAAGACTGTTTGATGGAGTGGTTAAAGCACTCAAACCAGTCCAGTGAAAAATGTGACATCTGTGATACCCCATACAGGTTCAGAGTCATTTATGATCCAAATATGCCAAAAATTATACCCTTTCCATTAGTGTGGAACAAGTTTGTACAAGTTGCATCTAGCACAGCCATCAAAGCCATCAGTATAGTCTTGTACGTGGTATGCATCCTTGTTCAAGTTCCGATTTTTTGGAAATTTTGTGGACGTGTATATACATGGGCCATAGATGGAAGATTGCCTGTAAATAATCCTAATTTCATTGATGCATTACACTTTGGAAATCTTAACATGCTGGAGTTGGATTCTTCACACCTTGCGTTGCTGAAAGTGAAAATGTTCCTCGGCCATACGTATTTCAGCGGAGTCAGGTACATTTTGGTTGGAATCGTTATTCATATTGCATTGTTTGTTGAACGAGAATGGGTGGTTCGAGATGAAGGTTACCTAAAGATATTGCATCGCAAAATTGGAAAAGAACCTAAAGCGCAATTGGTTGACATGTTGCAAAATGCTTTGGATGTGATGAGGAGACAAGAGAATTTAAATGAACGAGAAGACGCTGTGCAGGAAGCAAATTTAAACCGTGCAATTGACACCTTGCAAAATCGCGGCGAACAAATGAATGCTCAATATGAGGAAGACTTGAGGAGGGCTATAAACAGAGGAGAACTTTTCAATGATGGCCAAGCAAACATCCACAATGATGACCATGTGGAGGTGATTCATGAAGATGATGACGATATCGTTTTTGATGGTGTTGTTGATGAGGCGCCACCACCGCCAGACGCGCATAGGGTTGTAGTTGATGATGGCGTTGCTTTTGATGAGGAAGAGGACGCTGTGCATCGGGCAATTGAGGATGATTTTGAGCAAATGGCACAAGAAGAGGAAATCAACAACAACAACAACAACAACAACAACAATGGAGGAGCAATTGGAGAAATTATGGAGGTTTTCGGAATCGTTTTGAATATCAAAACACCTCTTTTCCTCATGGTTGTATGTGATTCCATCATTACCGCATATTTGTTTTTGGTGTATGCGGTGCCCTATATTTTGGGTGATTTGTTTGTGTTTATATCCGGCGCTGCTTTCAAGTATGTCACCACAGCCATTCCTGAGCCAAATTGGAGCATCAACATTAAAACGGGTTACGAATTTGCTGACTTTTCCATCCTTACTATTCAAGAATATATTGTAAAGCCGTTTGTCAACACATTTAAAGATTTGGTTTACCCCCACAGTGCACAATATAGTCTCGTTGATCGTGTTTTGGTTCTTGGTGTTGGATACACAATTATTGGCCTCACGATACACAATGTCATGAAGAGTTTGACATCAGGGCCAAAGCCCATCCTTGGATCATCGAGGAGGGTTTATAAGATTTTGTTTGAATTGAGCTCGACCGCCAAGGTGTTTGTCATTTTTGCCATTGAAATTTTCTTTTTCCCGGTTTATTGTGGTTGGTTATTGGACTTTTGTGCTGCTCCTTTGTTTCTTGAGAAATTTACTCAGGCAACGGAGTCAGGAACCACATTTATCTTATTTCTTACATCAGTTGACACCTGGACTCAAGTGCCCTACATTCGCACGCTGCTCTATTGGGCTTCTGGTACTTTGTACATGTTGTTTTTCGCCTTGTTTGTTGGTATGGTGAGAAACACTATATTACGCCCCGGCGTCTTGTACTTTATCCGCAGTCCTGATGATCCCAATGCTAGATTGATACATGATGCTTTGGTCAAGCCTTTGGGGTTGCAATTGTCGAGAATCTACCTTAGTGCTAAAGTCTACACTGGGTTTATCTTATTTGGCATTGGTGGTGTTACTTGGGGATTGAGATGCTTGGTTGCTCCAAGCCATGGGAAGTACAATGTCATGTTACCTATGGAGTTCCCACTAACACCAAGTGGCTTGATCTTCATGGTTCCATTAGGATTGAGCTCTGCATTTATAAGACAAATGTTGCCATTGATCACAAAGTATGTGCGCATTTATTGGAGAAAAGCGTTTGAAATCAGTGCGCACAGATTGAGATTATCTCATTTTGTCTTGGGTAAGCCGTATCCACATGAGCGTGGCCACGTTGTTTATCGTGATTGGAAACTGCGGTTTGTGGGCACTGCAGTCCCCGACTACACCAATCCGGTGACTTATAGACAAGCACAAGAGATTTTCTCAACTAGTCCCAAGGTTGATGCTTGCTTTGTTCCCGATGGATATTATGTGCGTGCTCCTGATAACGACACGATCTCGAGAAAATTCATTAAGAAATTGTTTGTACCTGTTACCAAGGATGATAAGTTGTTGAGGGATATTAATGAGAATGATTTACAGAACTCGGGTTACGAAACACCATCCAGTGAAGAAGAGGAATTGAGCACCGATGATGCATATTGCATTGTTTATCGCCCGCCAAATTTCAAATTGCGCTGTTTTGGATTGATTTTAATGCTTTGGGTATTTGCTGTGCTTCTTATCTTGTCGGTTGCTTTGGTTGCATTGATGTTGGGCCGGCCCTTGGCAGTTGCTCAACTGAGCATTTTCAGCTCTACGTTGCCTTTGTTCTCACCAGGAGATATTAACTGGAAGTTGGCCGATCTGGTAAGTCTTATTTACGGGTTGTTGTTGGAGTTCAATATCCTCAAATTTGCTGACAAGTGGTTCAAAGACAAGAAGCAACAAGGCGGCGGGAATGAAGTTGAAGCGCAGCAGGCAGCAAGACCGAGAGGAGGAGGAATTTTGGAAAACATTTTTGGCATTGCCAATGCTAACCCAGTAGATCGCGCATATTTGGTCAAGATGCTTGTGTTGCCGCTTATTCTGGCACTTTGGGTCTATTGGATCAGTTCAGTACATATGTTTTGCATTGATCTTCCGTTACAAGTGTGGTTCAAGACATCATTCACCAAGATGGAACTCATGCCCGTCCTTGTCCATTTCGTGGCCTCGTGGTGGACGACATTACCGGCAATCTTGTGCCTTGTCAAGACTGAAAGACGAGATTTGGATCTTCGTCAAAGTATAAAGTCTATGGGATTGGGGTACTTGTTAGCAAACTATGCCATGATTTACATTCCAGGATTGTGTTTGACGGCATGGAGCATTTATATGAAATGGACTCCTGCTTGGCGCAATGGCGAAGGTCCTGGACCGGGGTATTTCCCAGCTGTGTGGGTCTGGGCATTTTGCACATTTGCCGCATATCGAACTGTGAATAATGCAATCAAGTTTTACGGTTACATTGGGAAGCAAATCAAGACTGAAAAGTATGTCAAGGGGAGAGCCATTGTTAATGAGGATGAAGAAGTAAGTGATGGTGAGAGATTATAGAGTAGGATAAGGGGAACTCTGACGAGTTACATAGTGTGTAGGTTGAAATGTGTACTGAAAAATCGATGGTGTTTTAGTCATTGTTATTTTATTTAATTTGGTTGTTGAACTTCATCCACTATTGGTTGTACTGGTGGGTCAATTGATTCCTCTTCGACTATCTTTTCATTGATGTCGGCAACTTGATCGTAATGGGGGATGTCTTGAAGCACGGGTTTTGCAATTTCTTCAACAATTGGTGCATCCTCAGCGTTTTCAAGTTGTTCTTCACCAACAGGCTCAACTGGATTGCTCTTTGCAATTGAATCAGCTTGCACATCATTATTTGGCTTTGTATCAGCATTAATACCCGGTGGCGCCAACTGTTCGTGTTCTTGAACTGGAGCATCTTGTGCATCTACGGGTGGCTCTTCGATATGTTCCTCCTGCTTGGCAATATTAGGCACTGCTTTTGGAGTCTGTTTAGCTTCATCGGGTAAATGTGCCTTTGCAGGCTCAGCCACGTCTGCACTCTCTTGGTCAGCTTGGTATTGAGCTATATTTTGATAGAAATTGTTGCAATCGTAGTCCCACGTCGTAAATGGTTTCGATACTTCACAAGCAGCTTTCGTCCATGGCGACGCGTAAATCAATGATGAGTAGTTGAGATAGAAGACGGTGCTAAACACGACAAACAAGGCAACCAACACCAATGCAATTTGTCTCAATAATCTTGACGATGAAGTGATGTAAGTGGTGAATATATCCAAGAAATGGCCCAATGATAAAATGGCGAAATACAAAGCTGGGATATAATGGTGTAAAAACAATTGTCTCCCCATGATGAAAAATGGTACGTAATGCAATGCCCATCCCAAAACGTAACTAAATGTCTGGACGTTAAAGTTGAATACTTGCTTGTTTGTGGACATGGGTTTACCCAAATGGTACATGAATATAGTGAAGACTGCATAGATGATAAATGTAAATACTGCAGTAGTTGCAGCCCACCAAGTAACGGCATTTCCCAAAAGATAAACCTGTTTGTGTTCCCTTGCCCAATAATTGATACCTCTCAACAAGAATGGCCATTCGGATGGATCACTTTGCCAGTGATGATGGTCCGTTAATCCCGAGTTGATCTTCCACATCCTCTTGTGCAGTTCAGCTACTTTTTCCCAAAAGGACAATTTAGGATAATTGATAATAGTTTGACGGTCCTGTGGCAAATACTTGTTTTCATTTTGTTCGATATACCAATGGGTTAATGGACGTTTACCCTGTGATGCTGAGGTGACTTCTTGTTGGCCAAATCCCCATTCTGGTAATTTCACCTCACTTGAAAACAAGTAATTACCAGTCATTGCATGACGTAAACGGAAAACCGTCTTTAAAGCCTTGACAAAGGCCTTGGCATCTTCGTCTTTGGTTCGGTATTGAACAATTTCAACCACCCAATCATCATTGGCGTCCCCTTGGAATCCGTCGTATCCATAAGCTGAACACTCCTTTTGCCAATCACGTTCACTAACTGGTGGTTTTTCATCGTGCGAATGCAATCTCCTTCCAGTGTTTACGTGCTTCAATCTAATCTTCATTCCATTGATCAATGGTACAAACGTATCATTATAGATTGTGCCATTATAAGGTTCAATCAACCATTTGTTGTTTGAGTCCAAGTGTGGATACAAGGTAATTTGTTGTTGTTTGGAACCAGTTGGGTAAAATTGTTGATGCGAGTGCAAATAGCCACCTTGAGTGTCAATGTGACGAATTGTGACAACTGAACCCAACCCAACCTCTGCAGTAATATCAGTAGGTATTTTGTTTCCCTTTAAACCAGCTCTAAACGCACTACTCATAAAAGCACTTCCATCACCTTCATTGGGCAACATTTGGAAATGAACTGCAAAAAAAGCAAGATACAAAACAATGGGCACTCCCAACAAGGTGAACCCTCTAAGGAAAAAATGGGCCAAGATTTGTCTAGTTGAAACTGTTAAATCACCAATGAGAAACCACAATTGATAGATGCAAAGCAACCCAACCCAAGCCACAGTAAACAACCCAACCCATTTTGAACTCAATGCTAATCCCAAAGCAATACTAGTGGCAAGCAAACTCCTATACCAAGAGAATGTAAATGGGATTTGTACTTCAAACCTCTTCCAAGAGTAAATAGCAGCAGCAATGAAAAACATCAATGGGGAATCCAACAAAATGTATCTTGAAATAGTGGCGTTTGAGTTTTCAATCAACAAGAGCAATCCAGTGACAAAAGATATAAGTGGACGTACACCTGATTGTCTCAATGTCAAATAACACAATACAACAGTAGCAACTCCCAATAGTGCTGGAAATTGTCTCATAAACACATAGGGGACAGTTTCGGGGAACTTGTCACCAATTTTCTTAAACTCAAAGTCTCCATTGAAGCCACCAATAGAGCCAACGGCAGCAAAGAGCATCTTGGCCAAAGGTGGATGAACATCCATAAAGAAATTACCCAAGATGTACTTTCTAGCAAACCCACCAAAATGGACTTCGTCAAATACAACAGAGTCGGGGTATTTCAATCCACGTAATCTAACAACTAGACCAATGACTATCAAGGTAATCAAAAAAAAGTGTTCTTGTTTAACAAATTGTCTCTTTTGTAATGCAATTGGCGATGGGTTAGTGATTAGGTACTCGCGAATTTGGCCCTTGCCGAAAACGGGATCAACTAGGGGGTCAACATTCCATACAGTGTCGCCTTCTTGTTTGTGTTTGGATGCAGCTGTTGCTGCAGCTTTCAATTTGGCAGCCGACACGTTGTTATTGTTTGGTTTAGCCATTGAGAGAAAGGGGTGAACAACGTGAAGGTCAGGGAAGTGTATGGGTATGTGTATGTGTATGTGTATGTGTATATGTATGTATGGTGGTGGTGATGGTGGTGATGGCGAAGTTAGTAACCCTGTGTGGTTTCTGATGAGTTGTGGTAAGATTGAAATGGTTTATCGTATGTGTCTGTTGTATTTGGGTTGTCTGAAAAATCTGTTTCCCTTTAAAGAGACAGAGACAGAGACAAAGAACAAAATAAAAAAAAGGACAACACACTCAATAACAATAACAAACTATATGCACTACACGCTTCTCTCTCTTCTTCTTTTTGACGCGCGATAACACCGGTTTATTAGTACAGTGTCATATAATTACATTTTGCGACATCACACACGTTTGTCCAATACGAGTGAGCCACAACGAGAACACAGTAAACCATCTACTTTCGTCATTGCAAACTTCCTTGAACTGTAGTTTTCAGCTTAAAGAACATACGAGACGTTGTTAGAGAAACGTGCAATGAAATTCAAACAATGGGACTCTTCTTTCGTATGGCAATCGTTACAATCAACCGAGATCTACGTCACCCACAACACGACTAGATCTTCAAACGCGTCTTTCCTTTGTATCGGCTTCATAAGAATTTACTCGTTTGAATATATCAGTGGCGGGACAATAAGAGCTACGTGTTTCGAAAGGGAAAGTAGATCCAGAACAATATTGAAGTGCGTAAATGTTTTCTGGCTAAAATATATACTTCAAAAGCATTTCACAAACAGTTCCCCAGAGGTGAGTTTCTTTAGAGATATTGTAACCCACACTCCTAACTCCACCTCGTTAAAATACAAAGACGCAAGAGAATCATTTTCTAGTGTCGCAATTTCAAACGTGATAAAAATAATAAAAAAAAAAAAAAGACCCTGTTGTACATACATACATACATAATCCACTTTTACAAGTAAACAACACACGCCTCACCTCTGTCCACAACTACCCTTTTTGTTTTTGTAACCAACATTCTTGTTGTTTATGTTAGTTTAACCGAATCACCAGATCTTAACCGCCACCCCAACCATCTGTCTATATATAATGTCTCGTAAATCCCGATGATATTTTTTTTTTTTAGCTCTACTTATTGTCCTTACTAGTCACATCAAACATAACACCCCCAGTTCGTGTATAACTCATATTGCGTGGTTTGTTTTTCGCTTTCTTTTGTTATTGTTCCTTTGTGTGTTTGTAAATTCTGGCGTTTAATTTATTTAGAGGGTCAAGAAAACGAAAAGAAAAAAAAAAAAAAAAAAAAAAAAATTGCACCAGAGATAAACTCAAAACAATTTCTCATTTCCGTAAAACACAGTTTGACACCCACCTTCAGACGAAATCGCTTCATTAAGTTTTGCTCACTAATATGGATGCTGGTGACACTGCTGAAACTGTTGACACTGTTGATGTTTCAAAAATCGCAAACAAGCTTTTTGCAGAGGAGATATCCTCTGCTAAACCCGCGGAAATTACCCAGTTTTTAGCCGGTGACGATGCCGAATCAACTCAAATTAGAACTATTTACTTCAGCAACTTTACCTGGCCAGCTAATTTACTCAAATCTATGCGTTTGCTATGCTCCAAACTATACCTCAAGGCTGAATCACAAGAGTTGGATCGTATATTGTCATCGTTTGCCCAATCATACTTGAATCAACATCCTCAAAATGTGTTTTGCACCCAAAACTTTGAACAGATATACGTCATTGTGTACTCATTGATCTTGTTGAATACCGCTTTGCACAATCTGGAATTGAATAGAAAGTCCCGTATTCGTCAATCTGATTTCATTAAAAACACAATGTCCACTTTTTTATTCCAAGATGAAAAGTTACTGAAGAGCTTATCTACAAAACAAAAGTTGTCTATTGAAGTGACATTGTCTGACTATTATGACGATTTGGTTAAGAATGAGTTGATTTTGAAAACTGAGTCTTCAACTCCATCAAACCGTCTCTCTCGAGTTAGTAAAGAGGAGGATACCACTGCAGACATCACTAGAACTACACTGGCAACAGCAACTGGCACAAATGTAGATTTAGATCACGACTTGACCAGAAAGAGCTCCAATTCGTCCATTTGGTCTACTGACACCACCCAGCGGCACCAGCACCAGCACCAGCACCAGCACCAGCACCAGCACCAACATCAACAAAATCAATTTTTCACTGGATTGAAAAGAGTTTCAAGCGCTACTTCGGCTGTGACGTCGCTGACCGTACAATCTACATCTACATCTGCACCAGCTAGAGTCGGACTTGCTCGAGCATTAGCTGGACTGGCCGTTCGACAGGACCCCTCCGTGTACAAACACGGTAATCACTCTTTATTATCACAAAGATCTTCACCAGCATTACGCCATAGATCTTCTTTTGAGCAGAGTAGCAACAGAAGAACTTCAGTCATTTCAAGGAAAGTGGATGACACAATGTCAGTGTTGTCTTTGGAACTTGGTGGTGGTCAAAACTGGGAAGAAGATCAAAAAGATATGGAACAGTTTGATGTGGATGACTATCAGGATGAGTACGATTTGGAGTTGGAATTGAAAGGTAGTCCATACTTGAAGGAAGGTTTGCTTAAATTGAAAATTTTAAACAATGATTCAATTGACGACGGCTCGATAAGTCAAGTGCCTCAAGCAAGTCGTTTCTTTTCGTTTTTCCAACAGTCAAGAAACATCAACGCATTGAGTAAATTTGTCGATCATTTCGTTGTTGTTTCAAAGGGAGAATTATCGCTTTACTCATTTGATCCGAAAGTCGTCAAGAAACACAAGCGTGGAACAGATATGGAAGAAGATATTGGTGATGGTAACTGGCTACGCAATGCAGTCAAACTAGGCACTTACAATTTATGCTCCACTTTTGCATCCTTGGATAAACTGCAAGCTGGTAAAGTTTATTGGACATTGACATTCCCCAAAATCACGCGCAAACCCGCCAAGAAATTCATCTTTGAGGCTGGAACGAAGGAAATTGCGTTGGAGTTTGTCAATACTTGTAATTTCTGGGCTGCTAAAATCTCAGCCATTCCCACGTTGGAGGAAAGTGTATCTTCCGAAGAGTACGGATGGCTGAATTTGAGCCAGTTGATTAAACTGAAAAAATCGTTCAAGAAGTTGAAGAATATTCAAAAATGGGAACCTGTGTTGCAGGGAGTGTATATCTCGAACTTGTCCGTTAATGAAGAGGCTAATCATTGGGGGATGATGAATCAATTCGTCAAGACGTCGAGCTACTATAACCATTTGAAAAAAGTATATCGGGATTTTACTCAATTGAGGCAAAAATTTATTGATAGTTTTCCCAAATCGCAATACAATGGAACCAATTATACCCGGGTCATGACCAATTTTGATACCAAGATTGAGCATTACAAATACCAACTCATGGTGTATCGAAGTTATATAATCATTTTGGGATTTGCCTTGCAATTACGGTTCGATTTGCATGAAGAGAAACGACTCCAAGCTAGAAACCAAATAGACACCAATTTAGAAGATGATTCGTCGCATCACAGCTTGGATGAAGCTAAAGAGGAAGATGATGATGAGTTGACCAAATTGGTCAAGAGCGAAATCAAGAAATTGTTTTTCAATATGAAGGATATCGGAAACATTATCCCAACTTTTAAGTCATCGAAATCGATAAACAATATTGCCAAATTGCAGGAACAGCATCAGTTGGAGCAGAACAAGTTGGTCAAATCGCCCAAGACTTTTACCTTGTCGAATTTGAAGGATAATGAGTCGCCTATTGCTCAGTTGATTGCTACTTCGAATCAAAGCTCTGGCTCGACACAGAAGGAGTCGATGATGGAAACTACAATAGCAGAGGAAGATGAAGAGGAGGAAGAGGAGGAAGGTAAGAAAACTCGGCAGGAGACGGAACCAGTCGCAGCGAGTAGTAGCTTAGCGCAGGGAAAGAAAAGTGATGCAGCTAGTGTTGAACCGAACGGCGCAGTTATCGAGAAGGAACAAGTGACAAGTGGTGCCGTTCCGCATGATTACGATGAAGAAAAAGGGTCGGACATTGAAAGCAAAGGTGAGTTGAGTCGAAAGGACTCTGAAAACACTAAAGTTGATCAAGAAAGTAATGCGGAGCAAGGTGGTGCAAATGTAGGTGGCGGCGATGCTGCAGGTGGCTCGCCTGTTGAAACTACCAAGAAGCCCAACTTGGAAGTCATGACTAAAGAAGTATCTGCTTTGGTTATTTAGAGAATGTGTAGATTGTATTGAATATTAAATCGTGTTTGATGTCGTTTCTTTGCCAATGGGTGTTGTGGTTGGTACACTGGAATTGGTAGCGACCCGTGGTAAAGGTTGTCTCATTTTTATTTTTGTTTTGTTTTTTTTTTTTCTTTTGGTAAATTGCCACCAAACTATACAAAACTACATCTTTGTTCGAAGACAAATCTTCTCCACTACTCCAATGTCAGATCCATTTTCGATAAACGGTGGTGCAGCCGTTGCAATGATAGGTAAGGACTGTGTTGCCATAGCCAGCGACTTGCGTTTAGGTTCACAATCGCTTGGAGTATCAAACAATTTTGAAAAAGTATTTGAATTTGGCGACAAGACATATATGGCGCTCACTGGCCTTGCAACCGACGTGATAACATTACACGAGCTATTCAAGTTCAAAACCAACTTGTACAAATTACGCGAGGAGCGGCCAATTGAGCCATCGACGTTGGCAAACCTCGTTTCTTCATCCTTGTACGAGCGCAGATTTGGTCCTTGGTTCGTTGGTCCTATTGTTGCCGGATTGAGCTCAAAGGATAACAAGCCGTTCATTTGTGGGTTTGATTCTATTGGGTGTATCGACTTCAGTCACGATTTCATCGTTAGTGGGACGGCAACTGATCAATTGTACGGAATGTGCGAAGGGTTGTACGAGCCTGATTTGGAGCCGGAGGACTTGTTTGAGACTATAAGTCAAGCATTGTTGAATGCGGTGGATAGAGATGCGTTGAGTGGATGGGGCGCTGTGGTGCATATTATTACAAAGGATAAGGTGGTGAAGCGTGTTTTGAAAACTCGTCAAGATTAGAGTAGGTATGAAGGGGAGAGGCGGGGGGGAGGGGGGAAGGTGTAATGGCGAGGTATTGTACTGTAAACTGTATTGCAATGCAAATTGTATTTGTAGGAGAGTGTAGGAGATTTTACTGGCCAGTATACGCCAGTTGCTTTACTGTCACGTTAAATAGCGTTGTTCATTTAGAGTAATAAATATATACACGAAACTTTGAAGGTGTACCCAAGATCCAGCTTTATCATCATAGACTTTGACTCGAGATCAAACTGTATTAACCTCCATCTCCTCAACTTTCTTTTTTTTGGTTTTTTTTTTACTTCTTTTGCATCTCCAACTCGATAACTTTCCTCAAATACCCATTCTTTCCATACTCCTCCTCCTCCCTCTGTTTCTGCTTCAACTTCATCTTAGCTTGCCTTTCCCTACTTTGTCTTATACGTTCTTTGGAATCATTAACCCTAGTGTAGTGTAAACATTGACTTAATTGCTCCTTTTCAAAATTACATAATCCAAGACACTGTTTGAGAAATTCCTTTCGGTGGCATTCTTCTAATGCGTCCATTAGTTTTTCACATGTGTCAAATCTGTTTTTATCTAGCTGTGGGTGCATGATGGTGGAGGGAGCTTGTAGAGGGTTGTGTGGTTTCACTCTAGGTGATGAATTTAAAAGGTGATTTTGTGGGTGGTGTATTTCTTTTTTTTTTTTCTTTTTTTATTTTTTTTCTTTTTGCTCTCCACCCTTCTGTATTCAAAGTGAACTCGTCAAGAACAGGTGTATGGATTACACTACAGATTTAATCACTAAGTGTACGACGTGACTCTCTCTCTCTCTCTCTCTCTACTTATCCATACACATTTCCCTACTCGTTTCCTCATATACCCATTCTCTTTATTACATACTCTTGCGCCAACACACCGACACCCAAATTCAACCCTTGACGTATCCAATCCTTGACCCACTCCTTTGGATCAACACTGTCCAAATCTAATTCCACATCACCGGCATCATTCAACTTCAATGGTTCACCATCAAGCCATTGTGCCCAACGCAATGGGAATGGCTGTGTACGGGTGGTGATTGTGATGTTGTTTGTGATATCTTTGAGTATTAATGTGAAGGAGAAGGAGGTGACATTGTGTGAGTCGATTGTGGTGGTGGTTGCTGATGATATTGTTGGTGAGGCTGAGTTAGTTGGATCGGTGTCTTGTGGTTTGGAGTCTAGTTTGGTGGTGATTGGTTGTATTGTGATGAATATGTTGGATTTGATAATCTCTTGGAAAGTGTCATTTCTGTTATCTGTTGCCTCTCTCTTAATCTCCCTTTGCTTTTCATCTTCCCCATCCTTCTTCTCCTTTGCAATTTCAGCTTTCTTGTACTCCTTGATTGCATTTTCCAAATTTGCATTGGCCAATTTCTCACCATCAATCAATTTCCCATAAAACAAGTTCAACGTCACTTCATCGCCGCCACTGTTTTCATCATGATGATTAAATTCATGCACATTCACATTGACATCACCTTCAACTTGATTCATGGCCAAGTTGAAATTGTTCAGAACCAACTTGTGTAAATACGTGAAATTGTACAAATCAGAAACCAACAAAATGTTCAACACTTCATCGGCATCTTCAACCAATCCTTGTTTGATTTGTTGCGAGATATTTATAAACAAATTGTTTAATCGTGATCCAATTTGTTCGGTGTCCAACTGCTTTGACCGTTCATTCAACTGATTTGTGGTTGTAGAAGCTAATTGATACGTTTGCTCACTCAATTTTTCGGCATTGGAAGTAATGGTGCCCCATAAACTGGATACTTTTTGATTACCCTCCAGACTCCACCATGAAGATAAAGAAGCAATCGGATTGACCTCAGAAGTGTCATGAGATTGGGTACTTGCGGCTTCCTTCTCCTCATCCTTTTGATGTTGAGTATGGTCATCGGTCGTGTCGGATGAAGAGGTTCCCGTTGTTGGGTCATTGGTTTCCTCTACTTCTTCGTCATCATCATTAGAGCTGACTACATTCTCCACCTGCTTCTTCTTTGGTTCCAATTTCTTTTTGGGTTTCTTTTGTTCATGTTGGGCTATTTCATCAAGAAAGTCAAACACTTCTTTGTCGTCGGTGGGTTTAGAATTTGTTTTACTGGAGTCCTGTGTGGAAGCAGTTTCAGGTAACGAGTTGATCAAGTCGAATACATCATCCGTTTCTGACATTGTGAGTGGTGTTAGCTAACAGCGTGTCGTGTAAAAGACTCTGTTTTGTCTAATCCTTTCATATTTTATTTTTTTTGCTTCTTTTGAGTTAACGCCGGGAGGAAGGAAGAAAGAGAGAGAGAGAGAGAGAGAGAGAAAGTGTGTGAGTATGTATGTGAATATGTGTCGTAGAAATTCAAAGTCGCAAAAAGGGCATAATTGACAGTTTTACAAAAGCTGCACAAACTACACGCTGAATGTAAGCCCTCGGCCCTTTCCTGGCTGAAACTACTCTCCTCCTTCATTAAATTTGTGATTCAATGGAACATTCACCAAATTCTCATCGTCTTTTTCCAAATTCGGAATAGTAATCACTATTTGTCCACTTTTGGCATCATGATCTGCTTTAATCGTATTATAATCAACAAGCTTATCAAAGATGTATTTGTTTGTAAACACACTAGCAAATTTCAAGTGACTATGTTTACCCTGTTCATTCAAGTTTTGATTCTTTGAAACCAAGAACGCATTATCAGACTTGCAGAAATCAATCTTGACATCCTTGCTATTGAGCATTTGCCTGATCATAATAGTAGTGTTAATTGTAGTTGAAGAGGCGAGAATGTGTCAATGTAGGCTTAGAGTTGAATGTCTTTGTATATGTGCGCGGTTGCGGTATTTGGAAGTTGTGGGAAGTGCAGTTCATGGAGTCTTTTTTGGAAGATTTGGGTGCGAAAATTTATCGAAATCCCTACGTTAAGCAATGGAATCAATTGGGAAAGAAAAAGAAGATGTGAGCAATCTTTCGGTAGCATACTAAATGAAGCTGCTGGTATTACACATCCTTCAGAGAGAGCTTTGGCAAAACTGTAACCTCAGTATGGGATCAGCCATAGCATGTGCCTGATTAGTCGCCAAAGTAGTCTGTCGGCAAAAAACTACCGCGCGAGACTCTTGATGAGAGAAGTTGGTTTTTGCCCGCCACTGAACTTTGCTATTACGGCACAGTTTTTACCAGAAAACGAGTGAATTCTTTTTGTTGGCATAAGAGCGCCAAGTTGACACAAAGTTGGAAACAAATAGTTTTTCCGAAACGCTCAACAAAATGATAACAAAGAGGAGTTTTATGTTGCGACGCAAGAACACTGTAAAAGGAAAAGCCTTTATTCACAACGATGTACATGTTGTAACTAGCTGATTATTTTATAAAATAGCAGGCATCTAGCAAAGCACACTTTACTCCGCTCCTGAATTCGGCTACTGTCGAAAAGACTCCTCCGTAAATGAATTTGACAAGTCAGAGGAGGGGAAGTTTACAAATTTGGGCGCACGGAGTCAAAAAGAACAGAAGCTGTTCACTTTTCGTTACACGATGTCAAAGAATCTGTGTCGTATTTTGTGTTACACATTTTAAAAAATCCCCTCCCGTTTATCTTTTATTTCTTTATCTTTCTGCATTTTGTATAATAGGGGGAGGGGGAGGGGGCGGACGAAGATTCCCACGTTCTCTTATAAATCTCCTGCAAACAGATCTTGAAAAGGATATTGGTACCCGTTAGAGTACTTAATTGCAACTGTGGCTGTGAGAAAAAAAGATAAAAAAAAAAAAAGAGAAAGCAGGTATATGAAAGGGATGGGAGGTGTGGTTGAAAGAAGAAGTCGTGCACAAGTGCTTTCACAAGTTTCATTAACCAAACTAAAAAGTAGGCTGTACTTTCATAAGAAGTTTGCGATTCCTTTGCAACTTTATCTAAATTACAAATTTGTGTTATTTCTGGTTTTTTTGAAGATAAAAGAGGGGAGAGAACTGCGTTGCATTAATTTGAATGACTGATATACCCACATGGGCAGTAGCAGTAAAACCGGTTTGCTTCCTTTGTTATTGTTATTGATATTGTGGCTGCTATTGTTATTATTACTACATTTAGAATCTTGTTATGTTATCTATGAAGAAAAAGAAAAATCCGGCGTTTATTCAATTCTTATTTTTTTTGTTTTTTTTTTTTTTTGCCATCGCAACAAGGGAGGGGTAAATCTAGAAAATGATAAAAAAAAAGAACAATAGGAATTGAGAGAACTCCGTAACAAACAATAAAAAATGATTTAAAATTCGAAGATTGTGAAACGGATCAAATATGGGTTTCGGCCGCATTATGAATATAAAGATAACAGTAAATCTGTCAGATTCGGAGTGTCCTTTCTTTTCCTTTCCATATTCTTTTCCCATTTCTTTGCTTCTTTACTATTTGCTAGTTACCACCCCTGCTTTAAACAATGATCACTAGGCTCACCAACTCATTCAAGCCACTCTTGAAAGCAACATCTACTACGTTGGCTTCTTCCACAGCTTCAGTTGGCAGTAACGGCAGCAGAATCAGTCCATCATTGACCATGTACCACAACAACACATCCATCTTGTCACATAACCTACTCAAACAACTAACTTCATACAGTATACTTCCTTGTACTCAGGATAAGATATACCAACAGGGTGGACATGGTGGCAGTAACAAAACTGGAAAAGGAATCAAATCTTTTAACTCAAAGGGTAGTGGTGGTAATAAATTGTCTGAAGCAAACCAGAAGTTTTATCTTGATGTGAAGGAAAACATGGGATTGACTAGAGATGACCACAAGTTTATTATTGAACAGTGTTTGGATATCCATCCCGATAACACTAGGGTCATTATTCAATCAGTGTCAAATGTTGATTTCAAGAAGTTGTCTAAACAAGACAAGTTTGATATAGTTGAGCAATTGCAAGATTATGACAAGTTTCTTTCTACGTTGACCAACAATCAGGATGTTGAAGCGTCATCACAAGGGGTATTGCGGGCAATGCCATTGATTATTGATTACAAGCACAAGTTGTTGGCAAATGATGACGTTTCTTTTAATCGCATCATGGCCAATTATCTAAGCTGTGGTATTCAAAGTGTTGCAAGAAGTGGTAATAATTTGTCGCTGAATGTTGGTGATGGCGAGCGTAATGTTAGCAGCTACACTAGTAGAGGCTCGCCTGGGGTTGTTGCTTGAGAGAAGAGGCTTGTTATTGGAACCTTACTTTTGCTGTTTATATTGGGTTGGTTTTGTTCTGGGATGTTTGATTTGTTTTTGAGGGTATAGATATACACAATGTATGTTCTTTTGCAATTTTGAATCAGTCTTATGTAGTCTATTCTATTCCAGAGTGGATATACGGTTTGGTAGTAAATCCATCAGAAAAGCATGCGTTACCGAGTTTTTGCAATCTACTGCAAGCATCATACATGCTTTACCTTGCATTGAAGTACAGCACTTTGAATGCGTGTATGGATATTTAAATTCAAATAGCAGTAACGTTAAGACAATAGATGGGTGGGTGGGGTGGGAGAATATAGAGGTCTAGTATACGTAAAATCATACTACTACACAGTTAGTAAGTCACGTGCTGCCTGTTTTTTATCTATCCCCGCCTTACTTTCTTCTGTTTTGTGCTTCGGTACACTACCATCAGTTAATCACATTATCAGTGGTTGTTTATATGCAGGACACTAATGACTTTTTTTTGCAAATTTTCTTTTTCTTCTCTTGCGACACAAATTCCTTTACACACACACTAACACACTCTCTCTCTTGATCATAAGTCTTTTTATTTTCTGTATTGCAATCAAAGGATCTGTTACTTTACCCAAACAGCTACTAATACTCATCTTCAGCTTTGTTATTCAGTTGATCTTTCAAAACACATTAAATAACACATACTCAGTTCCAATCAAGTCTCAGAAGAGGTACCTTATTTGGCTTTTGCTTTTCCCGAGTATTTTCTTCTGTCTCCGCACTTATTAGTCCCAATAACCCCCCAACCCAGCCCCTTGATTCGAATCCTCGAAAATTTGACGTCACTAACGCACAACGACAGATACAATATGACTATATCGACAACACAACCATCTACAATGGCCAATGATGGGGTCCTAGGCTTGCAAAAGACGCCGTGTGACGATGGTTCTTTATCTACTGTGCCAGCAACTGAGGCTTCTACAAACGTATCTTCCTCCTCCTCCTCCAACACAGCTGCATCTTCAAGGAGAAACTCCACCATGAAAAGAAGAAAAAGAGACAGTAGCGGCGGCAGCGGCGGCAGCAACAGCAGCAGCCAGCATTTCAACCGAGTATCGCATCAGTACAACAAGTGCTTTCAGAATTACTATCATTCAAGCAATTTCTTGAAACCAAACCCCATCTACATTCCCAACATCAACACATCTGTTAACCACTGGCAACTTCGTAACCTAACAAAGTACAACAGAGTTGACAATGTATTGTACCACACAAGGGAAGACTCTGTCCATTTGTACCATTTATCACAAGCATTTACTAAAAAAGTTTTGAAATTAAACTATTTCCCTCGTTGTTTTGATAACCACGAGGGCTTATTGGCCACAGGTGGGCTATTAACAAGCTCGTCCAAGTTGTTTTCCTTGGATTTGGATAATTTAACATCAAAGGACTTTAGTGCCTCTTCAAGGGCAGTTGCAAAAGGCCTCTTTTCATTTTATAATCCAGAATTGTCCATATTGCACACAGTCAAACTTGGTGAAATGATTAATAACGATGTGTCTTTGAACAAGGTGGGTAATCAACAATATCAGGCACTTTTATGTAATAACGATGCCAATTTATATTGCGTTGACATCAATAATAATTCAAGTTTGAAAATGACAAATAAAATCAATTGTGAAAATTACACTTGTCTCAACTCAAGTGTCAAAAACCCAAGAAATAACTTGATTACCGCTGTTGGTGACTCATCGCTGATTTTCATTATTGACCCAAATTCCGGCTCATCGCCAATTGTCAAGACTATTGATTCTCAATATGACGGAGGGTTTGGAATTTCTTATCACCCCAATGGATACTTGTTTTCGACAGTTTTCCAAGACGGGGTATGTCAATTGTATGATTTAAGGAATTTATCCTCGCCCATGAGGCAATTTAACTCGACTCGTAAAAAACATCAACTGGGTGCTTTCAGAGTTTGTAAAATATCCCAACAAAATGATTTCAACGATTTGTTGATTATTGCTGAACATGTTGGTCGTGTGCATTTAATTGACTTGAAAACATTTGATCGACAAGTGATTGTTGTTCCTGCAGCATTGGACCAGTTTGCAAACTACAAAGAATCATTGATGAAGAAACAAGATACAGATCAAGAAGATTTGAAACATATGGCAGCTGATGAATTTGATGAGGAAAAAATTGAATACAAGTCTCCATTGAACATTTATTCAGAAAACTTGGCCTTTACTGCACCATTAGTTTACGATTACGATTACTTGACAAATGTCAATCCAAGATTATTCAATGACGTCAGTTATGCGCCACCCATGAACCCACCTGATTTGCATAGTGAAGCATTGAAGTTGAACTTGCCCGACTGGTCTGGCAATAATCTCAATTTTGTGTCCGATTTTGCATCACAACAAGATTGTCCAACTTCAACAGCTTCTCCACGAGCTAGTTTTCACCAGCACCCGCCACCCACATCAACAAACTACCGTCGATTTTCGTCTCATCCTCCGCCACATCTACCATCATCATCAACTTCTACATCGCGTCCATCCGTGTCTTATGATGTTGATATAGATTCACAATTGAATGAGATTTACCTCAATCACAATCCCTCCAATTCAAGAAGGAACACAACAACCACAGCAGCAACAGCAGCTTCAGCAGGTACGTCGCCTTTGATCTCATCGGCAACACCACTTTCAACTAGCTCCTCGTACATGTATCTGACATACTGCGACGACCTGTACCAACAACACACCAATCATCAGCATGGAGAGATGGAGTTGCTGGGTATTGAATTTGTCAATGATCCCGTCACTGGTGAATTGAAGATTGTTGTTGGATGTCAAGATGCTGGTGTTTTGATGTGGGACGTGAATGCCGTTACTAGACGTAGTATTGGCAGTTTTGACTTTGTTTAGTTGAAGGGGTGGCAGGGGGAACGGCAGAGAATTATAAGATGCATGGTTATGAGTTTTATGGAGAGGATCATGTTGTGTCATTTGCATTTTCTATGTTGTTTATTTATATAGTTTGGGGTTTTTTTTTTTTTTGTATTTTATGTTGCGTTTTTGTTCTTAATGATGTTATTTTGAATGGGTTCTGTATAGGCAACTTGTATTCTAATATAAACAGAAACGGAAAGGGGGGTAGAATGGTGCCTGTTGTGAGGTTTTGTGCCGATATTAGAAGGGGCAATAATCTAATCAATAAGTTGTACTTTTGCAAAGGTACTTTGTTGCTGTTCACTTGGAAACAACGGCAGAGGCAGAACGATTAATGAAATGGTATACAACTTTTCGTAGCTCTCTGATGGGCCCTTGGAGAGGAAAGAGTCCCCAAGTTTTAGCCCACACTAACTCAAACACCACTAACACGTCCTACTAGTTACGCCAGGTACGGCAGGTCAAACGCTAGGAATATTTTGCGAAAAAAAAACAGTTGTGATTAAAAAAAAAAAAAAACTATGTACGGGGGTAATGGAACTAGTAGGATCCTTGTTCGCTATTGGTTCTTGTAGATAGGAAAAACATGTTACTCATTCGTAATTTATCGTAGTAGTATGAGTAACCCCTTCTTCTTCTTCTTCATTAATATCTTTTTTTTTTTGGATTTTTGTAGTTATATTTTTGTTATATGTAAATAAACGTCGTTTCTTGTCCTTTGTGATTTCAAGTGTGAAATTTTGTATAATTATTGTACAGTTCGGTGAGCCATATTGCGCTCTGTCTTGGCTTCATTTCAAATTAACTGGGTATTGTGCGGAAGTACATTCAATCAAACTCTTCCTGACTTGATAACCCATTTGCTTCTTCCAATATTTGAAATTAAAAGCTGACCATTTGTTAGTTTATGCATCAACATCATCCCGCTGTCTCTCTCTCTCCTCAAGCTCCTCACACTCCCAAGGCCCTGCTTCACTTCAGCAAACGCCTATCTCCTAGCTCTAACCTTATGTTTATCCTCACTCACTTCAAGATTACCGCATTGTTTCAAAACTTCATGAACATCAACACCACCTTGATTGGTAATAATCTTGACTCTCTTGAAACTCAAAATCAAATCCAATGGAACCCACCCTTCAACATCCATATTCTGTCTCAAAAAGAAATCCTTGATCAAGTTCTCATCACTAAAATAATACTCCAATTGATATCGCAAGGCCTCAGATGGGTCTTGTTGTGGTGAGATTGGTGGTGGTGGTGCAGATGCAGATGCAGATGCAGTTGCAGGTGCATTCGCCATGGAGGCAGGGCCAGTGGGTGGCACCATGCCTGCTCCCGGTGCTGCTCCAGGTATGCCGGGAACGCCATTGGGCATAGCGAGTGGATGTTGAGGAATGAATGCTGGTGGTTGCATTGGTACATAGTACATAGGAGCAAAATTATTGAAATGCTGGGGACTGTATGGAGAAGCGCCGCCAACATTTGGATTTGGTGATTGGTTGTTGTTGTTGTTGTTGTTGTTGTAGTTGCGGTTGTTGTTTCTGTAGTGTGATTTGTAAGGACGTGGTTGGTATGGTTGTTGGTTGTGATACTGTGGACCTCCGTTAGGACTGTTGTTGTTGTTGTTTTGGAATCTCTTGGGATACCCATTTGACGAACCGTTGCTGTTGTTGTAGTTTGAGTTGTAGCGTCTATTGTAGGGTTTCTGATGAGATTGTGGTGGATATTGTTGCTGTTGCTGTTGCTGTTGCTGTTGTTGTTGTTGTTGGTGGTGGTGAGTGAATCCCAGCTGTTGCTCTTGCTGCTCTTGTTGTTGCTCTTGTTGTTGATGTTGTTGATGCTGCTGTTGCTGTTGCTGTTGCTGTTCGTCGTCAGCTCCGGTTTCTTTATTTGGTTGAGCCTCTTCGGTCTCGATAGAAGTCTCATTTTGTTCTTGCTTTGTAGCCTCTGACTCAGCACTGGCTCCAGCTGGCTGATTAGCTTCTTTAGCTGGCTTTTGGCTAGAATTTACCTCTTCCGCGGCTGCGGCTGCTGCAGAGTCACCTGCACTCTTCTCAGAACCGACATCTCTTGAGCCTTCTCTCTTCTTAGCAGAGGCAGTAGTAGAAACAGAAGAGGCAGATTTTGATCGGTCTTCTCTAGAAGAAGCGCCACTTCCACGATTGGCGCCAGTATTATTGTTGTTGCTGTTGCTGTTGTTGGCATTGTTATTCTGTCTCCTCTTGTTTCTAGGCTTTGAACTGCCACTCGACCTTGATTGCAACGTCACATTGACATCTAAAGGAACCCACTTGGTAGTTACCGGCTTGATGAACTTTTTGATTGGTTGTTTCTTTATCGACGGCGTTTGTTCACCCAACACTGGCGTACGTTTGTTGTCAGGGACTGTGTCCTTTATCTTCAATGCTTCAACGTCGTTGGATATCGATCCCCAAACAGAAGTGGTGGGGACTGGTGCAGGTGCCAATGACACTTTGGTTGGAGAAGTTTTTGGCGAATTGGTAGCAGTGGTGGAGTTGGCAGTTGTAGTATTTGCTGATGAAGTGGCTGATTCCGAAGGGGAAGACAGAGGAGATGCACCGGAACTAGAAGACGATGCTTCCGGCTTCTTTGACTTGGATTCTTTGGCGTCCTTACTGTCCTTGGTGTCTTTGTTTTCCTTGGCAGGTTTGACTTCCTTTGTCTCGGTAGTTTTAGTTGCTGGTGAATTGTGTGTCTCACCTAATGACTCCTTTGATGATTTACCATCGGATAATGACTTTGCTAAAGCAGCATATGATACATTGGAAGTCATGCTGGATTAAAATAATAATGAAAGAAAAAAAACCTCCCCTGACTATAATGTGCTTTTGGATGACTGGATAAAAATGAGATTCGATATGAAAGTCAATGAACAGATAGACTTGTGTTGCTTCTTTTTGTGTGAAACGGTATGAAGGATTCACTTATGAACTTGTTCGACAAGGTATAAGGTATGATGGCACAGATGCTATGGAAAAAAAAAAATTAAACAGTGTACTAATCAGGTAGTAGTATACGGGATACCTAGTTAGATGGATGGACTGAAGTATCGATGGGTTGAGTAGGTCAGTTACTTTGTGTGAAAGAAACTCGTTGCAAGAAATTTCGCTTGACTGATTTAGTTGTTAAAACAGAAATCGTTGTGAAACCAAAGTAGATTTTTCAGCTGCAAATCTTTTGGAATAAAATGAATAGCAGATAAAAAGAATAGGTCTTGAGTGATTCTCCAAGGAGTTTTGATAGTAGTCTGTCCCTATTACGAAAGTGGTGATTCGTAGGATTTAAAAGCGTCTGTAACCAATTGACGAAAAGAGTAGACAGAAAAAATTTTTTTTTTTTTTAGCTTCGTTTAGTTATTGTCATTAAATTAAAAAAAATTTTCACCACACATACACACAGTTTCAAATTATTGGTAGCGTCATAGATACCTACAACTAAATTACTACTGTGTGTCTCTGTCTTTGCTCTACACTGCGCCTTTCCCTCTTTCTCTTCCTCTCTCTCTCTCTCTCTCTCCCCTTGTGTGTGTATGTGTAGAGACAAGCAACACAGTAGTCGACCCTTACACATTCCGAATTAACTTTGCTATCTACTATTTGCTGTTGTCTCTCTCTTAGGGCTTAAGAGACACTTTCAAACATATCATACGCCGCTATTCCACGTGTAACACTTCCATAGATTAATCTGCTGAGTCTGGGTCCTCCAGAATACGTCACGGAGAGCCAGAAAACCGTTTGCCCTGGATTAGTTGTCGTACAGTATGTTTTCAATACAGTGCAATAAGAGTGAGCTGGCGACTTGCCAGATCTAACTTTCCGTCTATATTCCTTCACATTAATTCTTACGGGGGAAAAGTCACCAACTATGAAGCTTGGTTCTGTTAGACCAAGAAGTGCACTACGTCGGTAATGTTCATTGCCTGGCGCCACCTCTAAGGAGTTGTATAGAGCACCCGCTACGCACGTGATCTAGTCTCGCTTCTCTCTGCCCCACACACTGTGTGTGCGTGTGTGTGTGTGTGTGTCTCAAAACAAAGACAGAGAAATCAAAAATAAATAATACTCTCAACCGGACGAAACATTGAAGCTGCAACTGCAACTGCAACTGCAACCGCAACTGCAACATCATTATCACCATCAATAGCACTCTTGCACACCACGTCCAAATCTATCTCCATATACTACAAGAAACAGTTTGGGAACTTTATCATTACCACACAAGTACACTCGGGTACCAATCTACACCATTAGTTCTACATGACGATACTCACAAACCCCTTATATCGTCCTCTTTTGGAAATAATCAGATCAGCCAGAAATGGTATAGTATATGGCGGGAAATTGCGGTTTTCCCATGCGCTTGTCATAAACCTTTTGTACAGATCGGGTCCACTAGGTCCACGTATGAAGTCGGTGTTGGAGGCCTCAAAGGACCATGCTGAAGTATTGGCTTCATTTGCCATAATTTATAAATTGACAGTCAAAATCCTACAAAATGAAGCCTTTTTGGGACCCAAAAACACACAATTGCCCAAATTCATTGCAGGCTGTTTAGGATCGTGGATTGTTTATTCCGGTCACTTCAATTTGTTTCATGGAGGAATCACACATCAAATCACCTTGTATTGTTTTTCAAGAGTCATTATTGCACTAGGAAAGATTCTATTGGATAACTACCTTGGCTGTTTTCAACCATCTTTTACAAACTTTGCTGGTGATCAAATTGGGTATCGTGATTTAACCCTGCATCAGCAGAAAAAACTAAAGAATATGATTTATAACAGACTGTGGAAGTATTTCGCCATATTGGTTTGGGGATTGGTTATGTTGATTTATGATTACAGGCCACAGTATTTGCAAAGCTCGTTGAGACATTCAATGGCTTATATTTACGATGTGGAGATGGACACATGGTCGAATTGGAAGGACTTCTTGGGGATTTGATATAAGAAAAAAAAGAAAAAAAAAAGAACACAATACCACTTTTTGTTTATCGACAGAGAGATTGGGGAAGATAAGAGAAAGCCTCTGTTTTCTAGTATAAATAGCAGGCATTGAGTATACAAATGAGAATCGTCTTATGATCCTTCTTCTAAGTTAGGTGATGAGAAAGGCGCTTGTAAGAAAAGCAAAGGGGTACGTTTATGGAGCCAAGGATTCAGACGTGTTGGAGGTAGCAATCCCAAATCACAATGGTTTCTTTGATGAAAGTTTGCCCCAATGGTTCGGTTCGTGATGAGACTGATATCATTAGACTTTCCTTGAATTTTGGGAGAACTAGAGTACTTTGGGATCAGATCAATTCTTTGAGACGTGATAGAGACAAGCGGATATTTATAGTACTTATTGTTTGAATTTTGGATACTATATACGAGTTTAGATCGGCATCGTTAAAACTTGAGGCGGAACAATACACATCTTCAAAGTACTAGATTATGCGATCTATAGTATCTGCGGGTTGGGGTTTGTTACCAATAAATGGACGCAATGAATATTTTCATCACCCTTCTTGTAAGCAGAAGTAGGTGGTGTGTTTGTACAAAACATAAATAAGGATTGTCCTGTTCACCTTCTAGAGTCTTTCGTATAGAAAAGAGTTGACAACCTTTGACTTTTAATCTTGAATTTTCTTGTGTGTATAAATGATGGTTGTCGTGTGTCCTGCAAACTCTCTTGGAATTCAATCTTCTCCCTTGCTTGCTTTGAGAAGGTTGATCTTGAGCATTCTACAAAAGTGGAACGATAAGTAACTAGAGGAATTGACCACGTCGTTGTGTAAACATTTTTTGCAACAATAAAAACAAATTCCGCTGCGTTGTTTTGTGTAATGGACCAAAGGCTTGAAGAAATTGAACATCAACCCCTGCTGCTATTACACATAGCATTCTCGGATAACGTTTACAACAAAGGTTGTGAGACTGTTCTGTAATATTATTTGGATACACAGGGATTAGGTGTGGTGGCAGTAATGTCAACAACCAAAGTTTAGCCCATCGTGTCTTTCGAAATAGATCCAAAAGATCATGTTGTATGAGCTTGGCTAGTTGTTTTCAAACAGGAGTTTGCTTATATGACCCAACCCATATCCCGTCCAGTGTCCAATCGACATCCCTGTGTTGCCACTGTCACCCATCTCGACAAGCGCAAAACCGAATTCCGCAACACGTTGGAGGTCGTGTCTTTGCGTCCGAAAATTGTTTAAGAACACGCTGTCAAAATAATTGGTTGCAAATACACTACCTATGCCATTTGCCTTTGATAGAGAAGCACCAGAGTCGAGATACGGGATACAGGACGCATAGTCAAAAGACGACAGCCTAAGCTGTTGACATAACTACAGTACTATACACTATATCTATGTTTGTAGATTCAACTGGCCACGTAATTCAAAACGCTGTAGCACAGCGCTGCGTTGTACACGCCGAAGCGCGGACTGAAAAACATTTTGTGGTTACAAGAAGAAAATAACCCCCGATTATAAATCAACATTTGTTTTATTTTATTTTATTTTTTTTCTTTTTTTCCACTCAATTCTTGAATCCTTTAAACACGGTATCATTCTTTTACTAGACCACCTTGTGCATACTACTCCTTATACTATGCAATTCTGGAAATACTCAACTAGTGCATTGGCCACTCTTCTCGCAGTTGTGTCCATCACAAATGCTAGCGGCCCAGCTGATGGCGAGGCTGTTGCTGATCCAAACTCTGCAGTTGTCAAATTAACCACCGATAACTTTGCCACATTCCTTGAGGAAAATCCATTGGTTTTGACTGAATTTTTTGCTCCATGGTGTGGATACTGTAAAATGTTGGGACCAGAGTTCTCCAAAGCTGCTGACAGTTTGAATGAATCTCATCCAAATATCAAATTGGCTCAAGTTGATTGCACTGAAGATCAAGATTTGTGTGCTGAACACGAAATCAGAGGATATCCAACATTGAAAATTATCAGAGATGGTCAATCAAAGTCTGCTGAAGACTACCAAGGTCCAAGAGAACATCAAGGCATTGTTGATTACATGATCAAGCAATCATTGCCATCTGTTCAGGTTCCAACCTCATGGGAAGATTTGGAAAAGTTGGTCAAAGAGCAAACTAAACCATACATTTTGAAGGTTAATGGTGCTGCTGATGACATATTTGACAAGATTGCCAACAACAAGAGAAACGATTACACATTCATTGATGTAAGCAAAGATTACTTGAAACAGTTGGGTAAGATAATAAACCAAGACTTGAAAAAGGCTTCCTACTTGGTTGTTCATCCAGGTGAGGTTGTTGAAGCCGTCAAGTTCGAAGGAAAGCCTGATTTGGAAAAATTGACTGAATTCATTTCTGTTGAATCTTTGCCATACTTTGGTGAAATTAGCAGGGACACTTATATGTCTTACATGTCTTCGCCTTTGCCAATTGCCTACTACTTTTACAAAACTCCAGAACAAAGAGAAGCTATTGCCTCTGACTTGGGCAAATTGGGTAAAAAGTACAGAGGTAAGTTGAACATTGTTGGATTGGATGCCAACTTGTACGGAAGACACGCTGAAGCTATTTCAATGGATCCGGAAATTGTTCCATTGTTTGCCATTCAACAAGTTGCTGAAAACAAGAAATACGGTATCAACCAAGCTGAACATCCAGATGGTCCTTCATTCAAGGTTATTGAAAAGTTTGTTGGCGATTACTTTGACAACAAGTTGGAACCAATTGTCAAGTCAGAACCATTGCCAACTGAAGAAGAAAAAGCAGCCAACCCAGTTGTTAAATTGGTTGCCCACAATTATGATGAAATTTTGAAAAACACCGACAAGGATGTGTTTGTGAAGTACTACGCCCCATGGTGTGGTCACTGTAAGAAGTTGGCACCAACTTGGGAGGAATTGGCTGAGATTTTTGGATCAAACAAGGAGGAATCTCAAGTTGTTATTGCTGATGTGGATCACACTGCAAATGATGTTGACGTTCCATACGAAATCAGAGGGTACCCCACCTTGTTGTTATACCCAGCCAACGGTGAAATTGATGAAAAGACTGGGTTGCGGGTCCCAGTTGTTTTTGAAGGTCAAAGAGAATTGAATGCCTTGCTTGATTTTGTTAAAGAAAAGGGTGCCTTGGGTATTGATGGCTCTTCTTTACAAGAAAAGTTGAAGGAAGCTAAAGAAGCTGCCGAGGATGCAGCTGGAGATGTTGCTGAGGAAATCAAAGAAAAAGCCGCTGATGCAAAGGAGGAAGTTGATCACGATGAATTGTAAATTTAGTTGTTGTGTAAAACTAGCATACAGAAAAAATGAAAAAATAAAAAAAAAAAAGATGAGGTATACAATAAGGATTTTTCAAGCTCCCCAAATTTTGACTAACTTATCATCACCCACGCTTCCCCACATCTTTCCGTAATCGTTGTTTCTCACCACCAGCCCGCGTAAGTTCCAATCCACCGCATTGCATAGATCAATATGTGCCTTGATGCGCGTAATGAGCTGACCCGTGTGCAAATGCCAAAAGTACACATACCCGTCATCAGAACCACTCAAGACCAACTCCTCTTCACCAGTCTCTTCATTCAAGTAGCCAAACGAACTACGCACAATGTAGGTGCTTTGACTGTGTCCAATGTATTTTCTGTACAAAATTGGCGGGTTATGATGCAACAAGGGTGAAATGTCCCAAACTTGTAACTCCTCGGGAGCTGAATTGATCAAGACATATTTGCCATTAGATGACACTGAGCACGACGTTAGTCTTCCACGTAAATTGATGCATGCTAACCTTTTTGTTGTTGCTTCGTCGTTGAATACATCAGGAATGCGATAAAACAAAAGCTTCTTATCGTTGTTTGCAGTGATGAGAAATTTACCATCTGGCGTAATGGCCAAATCATTGATTCTGTTGAATGCACTCTCGGTGAATGTGGATTTAGCATCCGCTTCTTTCATGGAGATGTCATCTTTTCTGTTGCCATCATCATGGTCTTCATCATTATGTATGTCATCAACATCTTCATCCTCATCCTCGTCTTCATCGTTGACATCATTTGCATCTTCAATCACCGCTTCGCCGTCGGTGTTATTAGTGATGTCGTGAGTACGACGTGAGCTGCTAGGACTAGTGGTGGCGCTCGAAGTATAAGGGTCAAGCACTCCCGAACGATGTCCTTGATTTTGTCTCTTTTCTTCATCGTCGCCTTCCAAGTTGCCATAAAAGTCAAAAACCTCTACTCCGTAGCAATCAAACACTTTCAATGCTTTATCAGGTGATCCAATAACAAATTGGGGCGTAGACGAACTAAATGAAGTTTCCTTTCTGTAAGGTAAAAACTCACACGACCAAGTCTTGATATCCTGGCCCAATGTAAAACAAGTCATCAACTTGATTTCGTGGCTTGTGTTTGCTTCGCTTCTAGTGATGCGTTTGCGATCAATATCGCCAATGGACCAGATACGAACCACAGTATCCAAACAACAGCTAACCAAGTACTGTTCCTTGGGGTCCCAACAGCAATAAATCACAGCTTTAGTTTTCCCGCTTGATGGTTTTACTGAAAAGGGTGCAAATGCTGCTGAATCGGCTGCGTTTGTAGGTTCCATTATCTTGATACGCTGGAAATTTTCATGCACATTGTACAAGATTAATCGACCATCGAGGGATCCAGTGACGAGGTACTTACCCGATGGGGAAAATTTTAAGAACCACACTTCGTCCAAATGGTCTGTTAATGTGCAGTGGAGTTGATCACAATTGAAATTATTTGTGGTTGGGCTTGGATTTGGATTTTGCGCCGACAAGGACTTTCTCCAATCGTGTTTGGTTCTTGGTGGGAGGTAGAAGGGTGATTGCAGTTGCTGATATTTCACTGCTTGATCAATGATGGTGGAGAGTGATGGCACATGCGTAGGCGAGTTGAAGACAAGGTGTGAGTTCTTGAACACTTTTTTGAACACGGCATCTTGCACTTCTTGAATATTCAGTCCAGCGCCAGGCAAGTTAAAAAATGCCTTGTGTAGTGGCGTGCCCTCATTTGTGAGCACTTCTGCTTCGTTTTCATATTTCAACTGATCTAGTATTTGAGCGTCGTACAATTCTCGTATAGAATCAATATTAATCTCATCCAACAACGGTAGCAATTTATCCCACAAATACGAATACTCGCTGTCCCCTTTGTGGTTACACCAGTAGTCCATTCTGCGCACCATGTACAACACAGAGTTTACCACTGACTTGTGATCTTCGCCAGTGTAGTTTGTGATGTGGATAAACTCCTCGTGTCCAGTTTGTGAAATCAGGGCAAGGTAGTCTTCAACCGTTCGATAGTTGTTGGTGCGTAACGCGTTATGAAACCAGCTAAGAAGCACAGGTATGTCCAGTGCATTGTCCGTTTGCACCTGTGTCCTGTACTCGTGAAGTAAATCTGAAGATAGTCTGTCATACCCCAACTGCCGCAACGTTTTGATCATTACTTGAACTTGAAAGTCGGGAGTTTTTGGAGTTGTCAATCCGTCACTCATGGTAGTTATTCGTTTGGATAGAGTTTATATCACAGAAGTGTTGAGTGAACGGGATTTGGGGGGAGGGGGAGTATCTAATTTGTGGCTTCTACTAGTTCCGTGATCAGCGAGAATTTTGTGAATTGCTTGAGTTCCAGATACGGTAATATAATGCAAGAGGATTGTACACTGGTGTGTTTCTCACTAAAGTCGGAGTAATTTTAAGCCACCTCTTTTATTGTTCCTAGAATACTTCTGTATAACCACTAAACTATCACATAGGGGCCAATCTTTGATAATAAAAAGTGGAAAACGCCGTATCAATCTAGTGCATAATTTTTTTGATGAGGGGAAATTTGAATGAGCCGATTGGAAGGTGCACAAAGGATTAAATGAACTTGTGAATGGGAGAGCACCAACTGCATAAACGTATGTGGAAAACGTTCCTTTTGTCCCAAAGCCGGAACAATTTGTAATGAAGCAAAAAGAAAAAGAAAAAAAAAGTGTGGCTCCCGGCTCCCCTAGTTTACTTGATCCATGGAGGAAGTTGAAAGTCTGCGGCAACTCAAATAAATATCACATCGCCTTCGTTGATGGTAATACCGATTGTTTCTAGAGTATGGACTGTGTTTATGGCTTTTACAACAATCATCGAGTTTGAAGAGAGAATGCTCTTGTGTGTGAGACAACCATTCGTTTGAGGGTGATCAGATAATGCGATTCCCAATTGGGATTGTTTTACGATGTTTTGTGCAACCACAAATCTCTTTGTAATTTTCCGATTACGCACCTACCCCTTATTGTTACCATGTTCCATCATTGTTCAAGTTTGGAACTCTGCATCATACGTTTGTTTCGATGCCATACGGCGGAGAGGCATTGGACAACCGAAACAATACCACCCTTTAGTTTGAAGTGGAGAATCAAAGAACAACTATCTATACATTTCGGAGAAATTTAGTTCTCCCAAGGGTTTTTAAACAAAACGTGTGTAGTCTCGTTTAAGAGGATTTGTCGAAAGGAGAGGATCCACCGGGATATATGAACGCTTTTCTCTTAATTTTCTTTATCGATTGTGCCCTCTATGCAATGGCTGATGAGAAAGTTTCTCCGCAAATTCCTTCGACTGTTTATTTTTGAGCTATTTTTAGGACAATAGTTTGATTACTAATTGTATCATACTCTTTATTTGTTTTCCCGTTTAGTTCACAATGGAAGACAATGGTTAGATGCGACCGTCCAGACGTAGATGATCTTGATGGCTCGATTTCAAAGTTTAAGTTGAGCATGTGTCTCCATAACTACTTGAACTCCATGTCTTACAGTAAAGTCCACTGACAAACGATTGTTTACGAAGAGAGCAAAATTCTTTCCTCTTGAAATTGAGTACTTAGGAGGCATGTCACCTGCACAGAACTGCCCTGTATTTTTTTTCTTTTTTTTTTGAGCCGTATCTTCCATGAGGAAAGTGTATACACGCTTTGTTTACCTTTTATTTTATTTTATTTTTCTTTTGTCAACAGCTAAAATTAGTCACACTAGCACGCACTAACTCACCAACACTCGCATTATATTGTTTTGTTGTCTTAGTCTACGCATGTGCTCTTACTTTTATTCGTATGTAGTGTGCATTGAAAGATCCCTTGTCACCAGCAAAAGATTCTGAGGGTAGGCAAAGAGGTCAACTAGCCATGGAGTGAACACTATGGTAGAGCCAGTTGCATGGGAGTTTCTAGCACAGCAATGAAGAGTATAACATTGTCACTGTGTAGAAGTGTAGCTCTTGATTATTGTTGCGCATTTCCCTCGGGCTTAAATGTCCGATATGCGCTATCTTTTTCTGTCGACTTGCCAAATTAAGTTACACGTCACTATCCTTACGTCACCCATTTTCTTTTTTTTTGAAGAAGTATTTCGATTACTAATCTCCTTGTTGGAATATAGGTGGTGATTTTTCCTTTCTATCCGCGTGTACATTACGTACCGCTCCATTACGTTCCGCTCTCGAGTATCCACAGAGTGGGAGCGGAGGTGAAGCTTCGAAGAGATAAGGCAATTGCCAATTGTTACCTCTTTTTCGTCTGTGCCACGGTTTCTTTTTCTTTTCTTTTTTTTTCTTTTTTGATAAAACTCACAATTGTTCCGCAGTTGTGTTCTTCAGCGAGGCTTTGACAACGTTTTTGGAAGGAAGAGAATCAGATAAACTTTTCTTTTTTGAAGTGTATTGGGGGGGAGGGGCCGATAGGTCACTTACTTTTCGTAGAATCTCGGAATTACCTAAGCGCTTACAGCTATTTCGATCCGGTGGGTTTTGTGTTGCAAACTACGATCGTAATGTATCTTTGTAATTGCCATTGCAATATAAAGTTATTGCCACTTTTGTGAAGAAGCCAACTCTTGCAGAAAGAGAGAAAAAAAAAGGAGTGACTTGTTTATCTGAAGGGAAAAGCAGGATCGCATTGCCAAGCCACTTAGTGCCGAGGCTAGATCAGTCGAAAGAGGGACAAAAACGGGATCATTGCCAGGAGGCACGTTGCTGTTAACGCGAGTTTTAGCCATCTACACCTTTTCTGCAATGATTTGTAATATTGAACATCTCTAGAGGAGTAAATGACGCCGTTTCCAGTACATGCTCCGGAGTTAAGTTCAAAGCTTCGGGAATTTGACAAATTGGGGAGTTACTAAACCCGCGCAGACTGACAAAAGAAATAATCCATTATTGTACCTCGAGTCACTTCTGTGGTTTGTGTGAGTTCTACTACATCCCACACGAATTCCCTATTGTTAATGGGAAGAGCTCTGTTGTATGTAATATCTAAGTGAAATTCCCTAAAACAAAACAGGATATAAACGAAGTCTTGGAATATTAGAGTTTTGCATAGAGATTAAGTTTTTGTGTAGTGCTACGATCTTTTATTTGTTTACCAATTGCAGTGGAGGCTCTATATGACTCACCATTTACACATGCTCTTTAGACTACAATAGGACAGGGTTGACAAACGAACAAACCCAATTGGAAAGATAAACTACACAGCCAGCTTTTTGTTCCACCAAGTGGCTGCTTTACAGAAGCTATAGTTTTTGATAATTTGTTCAGAAGACACAAAACTTTTTATTTAGCGCCCAGAACAATTGAACCATCGTTTCTTTTTATAGAATAAGCTTCTTTCATACAAAGGAGCAAGCGTACATGTACGATATCTTAATTCTCACTAAGATGTGTAATGTGTGAATTACATTATATTCAACCCTATTTAGACCAAAAATTTGAGGTCATACACTTTTTTGGAGTCAAAATGCCGTGTGTGTGTGTGTGTGTGTGTGTGATTGCACACAATGGCCGCTTGGTGGGGTCAAATGAGGGAAACAATCGGAGGCTAGAACTGCGAACTTAGTAGTAACAATATAGTAGTTTCTAACACACTCCCATGAGAACAATGGGTTCTTATTATGATGCCTTATAGAATGTGTACATGTTTTAGGTTGAAGCGAGGTCGTCCCATGTTTTGCTTGAAAGAATATTTAATGAATTGCAAATCCACCTCAAAAGAGGAAAGCACGGCACAGAGAGGTTGCAAATAGATGTATTACTTGTATTTGTCTGTCACATTTATACCAACACATTTTGACTTCAGTTAAACCTAATTGAGTTAATCTTGCAGTTATAATCAGGTGTAAGTACTTACATATCAACAATCAAGCGGCTGATTCACCTTTTATCGGCACACATCTACACCAAAGCATCAACGTTTTGCTCAACAAAGCCACTCACACTTCGATACTACACCAATAACCACTATTGTAGCAATCCCCAAAGAGTCTGAGAGGGAGAAAAATTACAAAGCACAAACACAAAAGGCAGAGAGAGTTGCACTATTTGAAATTGTTTTGTGTGAGACTTTTTTAATTTCACAAGGGTCACTATACTGTACCGTACTATACACTATACAGAGACACAACTAAAAAGTCAGTCTAGTAGTCTTTACTATCTAAGCAACACAAGAGTTCAAAAAATTATAAAAACTACTGGAGAAGCTATACAAGACTCAATACTACCTACTTCTTCTTCATCTTTCCATTCGCATCTCAGATTTGAGAACAAACCATTCTCACAAAGCACTTCTTTCCATACGTCATCGCGTACGGCATAATAGAATACCATAATCAACCCCATCCCAAAACACGTAATATATCCACTTATACATACGCAAACCAAGAAAAAGAACACGCTGTAATCAATTGAGCGGCAACCGGATATGGGAAAGCTAAGAGCAAGAGTATCTAAGGTGTGTGATTTTCGCAAAAGGAGAAAAGTTAAATGTGATTTGGGGAACCCGTGCTCCACGTGTATCAAATACAAGAGAAGTCCCTGTGTCTATTCGGAACTTTTGGGAAATGAAGATGTGGAATATGACGAACCGAGAAGAAAGTATGTTGTAAAGAATGAACCCGTTACCGATGTGAGATCCAGTGTTCCCAAATCTTTGTTCTCACCAAAGACATCTTCCAATGAGCAGCCAACAGTATACTCATCCAAGCCGTTGACACCGGATGGTGCCAGCATAGATATGGTCCACGATGAATTGTCGTTTCTCAAGCTGAAGCTACAGTCCTTGGAGCAACAATTGACCACGCAGCAGGCACCACAAGTACCCTCGGACCCCTGGCAACTGCAACAACTGCCATTACTAGTTGCACCAAAGCAATCCCCTGAGGGAAAAAGTCCTACATTCTCACCTTCTGATCCCAGGTTTTCCCTGATTTCCTCCATGGATCTATACGGCTTCAATCCTATTGAATCTGAAAGTGAATGGATCAATTTCACCACCGGTTACAACCCCACGCAAAACCGAGAGCCAGTCAGTAGAAAACATTATGGCCCATTATCATGGGTCACGTTGTTGAAGATTGACAATGCAGTTGCTGCAATCTGGTCTCACATGGAACAAATCAAGAAACAATACAAAGTGCGTACTGGGACCCACTTCATCCCTCCGCATGACAACACAACACAAGCTGAGAAAGATTTTTCTGAAAAGGCTTACAAAGATGATGGGGAACATGATGTAAAGTTGTTTAGAGAAACCGAAGTCAAAGTGAGTTCCAAAAAAGTTGTTACTCAAGAAGAATTGAATGAAAAGGCAAAGTCTTTGGGATTGTCATTTTATAAAGGGGGCTTGGACGAAGAATTGGAGCTAGTTGAAAAGATTAGGTTGGTGTTGCCAAAGCAAAACGTGCTTTGGAAGTTGTTTGACAGATTCTTTACCCATTTGTATGTGGCTATGCCTTTGATTGACCAAGCTGCTACGAAAGAACAATTGCAACGACTCATTGGGCCAGAAGATTACCAGGACAAAAGCGTTACTGTGAAAGTCGAAAAGAAGTTGGACTTTGCGTACTTGGGACTATTGTTGATCTTGATAAGATTCAGCTATATATCACTCTTTTCCCACGACTCCACCATCAATGAGGTGAATTTCAGAACAAACAATCCTGAGCCAAAAGCTCAACTGATCAAATTCTTGTTGAATAACCCCATTGACATTGACGTTATTGATGTTGCTCATTTATGCTTGAACCAATTTGATATGATGAGATGCGGCAACATGGCAATAATGCAATTGGCTCTAATGACGAGAATTTACCATTTGTACGCACCAGAACTAGGTGATGGAATTGATGGTGGTGATGGGACTGTATTCAATGCCACTTTGATCCAAATGGCAAGGGCACTAGGTCTTCACCGTGATCCTGATATGTTTCCTGAGTCCTTCAAAGATGCCAGAGAGAACAATTTGGTGAGGAAGATTTGGTATTATGCATTGATACTTGACTTCAACACTGCAATGAATGAAGGGGCTCCAACGTCGGCAAATTTTGACTCCTTTGACACCAAGTCTCCGCTTTACGTTCCTGGTTGTGAGAATGTTGATGACATTGAGGTTGAAAAGATTGCATGTTCTTGTTTCCCAAGCTTTGATTATACTTACAAACCAATGAGTGAAATGTTTTCAACTGTGTTCAATGTGAGATCGGGTGTTAGTATGGCAGATTTCGTTAATAGAATGGACTTTCTTGAAACATTCTTCAAAGAGAGGTATTGCGATGTTCCCAAAGAGTACACTACTGCTTATGATGGTTCCAACGACACGATGCCCAGAACTTTGAAATTGAAGATTTACTTTACTGGCACTTTCCATGTCGCCTCGATGCATTTCCACATATTCAATTACTATGAGAGAAAGAAGAATACACAATTGGCATACTTTTACCTTAAAAAGATTGCCCTGGTTATTGTGCACGATGTCATGCCTTGTTTCATTGAATGTATTCGACACAAGAAGAATATTTTCAAAAGTTCAGCGGATATGATGACAAGTCCCAGTTTTATCACTGTTGCTCACAAGTCGTTGATTATGTTGTTTTCATTCCATTTAAGACTCAAGTACTGGATCTATGATTTGCAAAAGAGATTTGACCACAATTCCAAAATGAGGCTGTTTGATCCTGCAGATGAGGAGTATAAAGCCAAGTACCTAAAATTGGTCCACTTGGATGATTTGGTGGAAAGATGCATTGGACATTTCCGTGACGGAGTGGCCCGGTTATCTCAAAGGTACTATTATGCTTGGCGGGTGACCAAGGCGCAAAATTTCCTCAAGCTAGTTTTGAATGATAGTTTTTTCGAGTCGTACCTGCCTGCATTCACTACACGGCCATTTAGCTCTGAAATGTTGACTCAATTGGAAGAGCTTTTTGAGGTGTCTTTGGATAAAGTTGAGCAAAGTTTGAGTCAGAACAAGAGGAAGAATAAGAAACGGAAATCAAATGACTCTATGAAGCAACAGCAGCAGCAACAGCAGCATCAACAACGGCAACAACAGCAACAACAGCAACAGCAACAACAACAACAACAGCAACAACAGCAACAGCAGCAACAGCAGCAACAACAACAAGTTGATGATGTAGATGATGATGATGATGTCTCAATTGAGGAAGAGTTGAAGAATAACGTCAAATCATTCATGAATGGTAATGTTAATATGAGAAAACATGAAAACTCAATCAGCTCCACAGGATCAACAACTTCGGACAGCGAATTTAAGCCGAATGAACAGATTGATACGATCTGGCTACAAATGATGAATATGAAGAATAACAACGTGGATCCTATGTACAGGTCCTATGATCCCACCATGAACCAAATGTACGGCGCGACTCCCTCCTTTTTCAATCAAATGGATGGTAGTGGCGGTGGCACTGGTGATGGTAATGGTGGTATTCCTTTCAGTCCTGGAGTCCTTGGTGCAGGACTAGGAGGCGGTGCCAGTTTCAGTGCTGCAGGAGTCACCGTTGGCGCAGGCGTCCAAGGTGGAGGATACAATCTGTTTGATTTTGGTGCTGGAGAGATGTTTGAGAATTTCCCCGTTGATGAGCTATTTAAGGATGTTTTATAGTTGGGGAGACAATTGCTATTGTTGTTTGTCGAGTGTTGAGAGGTTATACCGTGTACATATGTTTTGTCTTTTCTTTCAATTCGGGGGGGGGGACTATCTTTTGTATATATTGAGCTGTATATAGGTGAATTGAATACATTGTGAGTTTACTTATATAAGTGCTGGAAGCATGTGGTTGGATTTTGAAGTGTAGTGTAGCTAGCGCATAAACTTACCACTTTGTATGGGGAATCTGTCCAATTTAACTTATTTCATCACGGACAAGAATCAGGCCTTGATACCTTTGAATAAACGTGTGTGTGTCCTTTGTATGTAGTGATAACAATTTCCATTCTGCACCAGTGATGGATTTAGAGCAGACATTGTGCATAGTGTAGCGAGTCAACGCGATTGTATCGACGTCCATGTTGGTTATGACTTGTTGTGGGTCCAAATCGGTGTATAGCATAAGCAAACCCTCTGCTTTTTGCTTAAAGTCATCAAGGTCAGATAAGGCCACTTGGTTGACTGGCATATGCATCGTATCCTTGCGCACTTCGGGTATTGGTAAGTTTATGCTTTCGTCGTATATGTAAGATTCAACTTGCGCGTTGCTGAATAGTGTCTTGATGATGGATTCAAGTAGGGCTTGATGGCACAATTTGATCTTGATCTTGTAGCGATATCGAGAATGGTTGTGTCCACCAGAGCCAATCTTGTCATTGGTTATCTTTCTTACTTGAGGAGAGTCGACACATGGTTCACTTCTTCTTTTTCTTCTTGTTCGATGCCACGTCTCCGCTGGTGGGTTCAAATTAGGTAGTTTCTGATACGACAATTGATCGATATGGATAACGGCTTCATTTTGGGGATTTCCGTGAAATTGTAACTTGTTTTGAAATGATGGATCAAGACGGACTTGGTCCATGGGTACTGCTTCGATGTAGGACTCACTTGCGGTGTTTTTCAGTCGTATAAGGTCCATCAAGTTGGTTGTATTTGTTACTTCTCGTAGACATGGCTTGGGAGTAAAATCCACTGAGGCGTCGCTGATTAAGCGGACAGTTGTGTAGTATGGATATCTTTCAATGACAGCATCAATAGTGGACAGATGGTCTTCGGGGGTAAGCTCGAAATCCTGTTCCCTTATCATGTTCTTTGAAGGGTTGCGCATTGGGGAACAACCCGAGGTTTCGGATATAGGCATGGACATAGGCATGGACGGCGGCCAATTCTCGACCGAGAAAAAAAAAAAAAGAGAAAAAATTAAGCTCCGAGCAAGCGAGAAAGAGAAAACTTCATCCGCAAAGGGCAAACCCAATTCGGGCGATCGGGCGAGATGGGGAAACAAGGAAAAGGGCGAAAGAGGGTGAGTTGATTTCGCGTAGGAAGGGACTTGAGGGGGGGGGGGTCATTTTTTTTCTCGGATAATTGTTTTGATATTTGAAGAGACCGATTCAGAGGACTGGTCTCTGTAGTAAAGAGCAATTATTAGACTAATTTGTAGTACCAGATATTCCAACCATTTGCTCTCCTTCAAAGACACGTGGGTCCCATCATATCTCTCTTACATCAGAAAGAAGAACAAGAACTAAAAAAAAAAAAAAATGTAAAAAAAAAGAAAAATAGTTAGCAAAGGGGAAAATAAAAAAAAAAATAAAAAATTAGTGCTCATACGACACTTGTGAATGGGTGATGGGTATTAACATTGAGATATTTTCATCAACTTAAGTTTATAATCCAACGCCCTTTTTTTTTTTTTGCTGTCTGCTTCTGTTGATTGTGTACGGTATTCTGGAAGCCATCAATCCAAACAGAGCAAGCATTTCATTTCACAAGGGAACAAAATTCGCAGTCACTTCCATACTTTTCCTAACGTGTATCTATCCTACAGTCTTCCGGGAGTTTCTACAACAATTAACAACCCATATTCAAGAACAGTTTACTAAGAGAAGGGTTTTGTCCACCTTATCTCAATGGTTCAATTCAATTTCCAAGCGCCTTGGGTGCCAATACTCAACAATTGTGTTAGTAATGAGCTAGCAGCAACTGATAACATGCCGCCGTTTACGACTTTCCAGCTAGCAACTATTGATTCCAAAACAGGGTATCCTCTGAATAGGACTTTGATATACCGGGGATGGCTATTCAATAATAAATCTTCCAATGTGATCACATTCACCACGGATAAGCGAATGGACAAATATGAGGAGTTGTTAGAAAATGACAAAGTTGAAGCGGTGTTTTGGTTCGGTCATATTCGGAAACAGATTAGATTCAGAGGTAAAGTGAGAATACTTGACTCTGACCACTATCCTAGTATTGATTTGAATCATATAAATAGTGGGGAAGTAACGCCGATCGAATTGGATTCTCATAAGGACGGTGCAGTTCCTCGTGTTCAAAAACAGCCAGTTCAAACCTCGTTGTTGTCGCCATCACTCACTGAAAGGGATAACAACAGTAGCAGTAATCTTCAAGAGGACTTGTTGACGGCAGATAATCCATACGCTCCACCAAGTACAGAAGAATGGCAACAGGAATTGGACAGGCAGTGGAATGCATTGTCCAAAGCGCTCAAAACGACATTTAGGAAACCGGAACCCAAATCGTTATTGACTGAGGAGAAAGCAAAGTTGATTAGTAAGATACAGAGGGGTGTTGATGGTAAAAAGGAGGAAGATGGGTATAAGAATTTTGCGGTAGGGTCTATATTTGTCAATCAAGTTGATTATTATGAACAGGATAAGGATAAGAGGTTTGTTTATGAGTTGGATGAGGAAAGTCACACTTGGACTGAAATGGAGGTTTGTCCGTGAGAAAAAAGATCAAATAAGAGGAGAGTGTGAATGATTACCGTGTAGAGTAATAGACTGTGTATATACAATTGAAAGATCGCAAAGTACAATAAGGATGATAGTGTGGTGTAAAGAAGCTGTGGCTTCAGCATGTGTCATAAGATTATATGTCGCAACTTAACCAAAAGTGACACTTCAGAAGATGTTTTTGGAGTTTTGTGTGACCAATGAATTTTGTTATCTTTGTGTTACATTTCATAATGTTTCTCTATTGTTTGATTTTTTTTCTTTTTGTGTACCGTGTTGTTTGTTTGTTTGTTTGTTGTGATTTCGCAAAGGATCATGAGTTTCCCTCCCAATTCCAATCCCAATTTTTTTCTTTATTTTTTTTTTTTTGGAATCCTTCAGTCAACTTCTTTTCTTCTTTCTTTCATTCTATTCCTTACTATCTTTAACTCACACAATCTTATTATCAGCAATGGCTACTGCAGCAACAACAACCTCGACTTCAGCTTCAAACTCAAAGTCCTACAAGGGTATGTTCATCTTCTAATTTTTTTTTTTTTTCCCTCTCCAAAATTTTGGCGTTTTTGGTCATTTGTTTTGGTTTCGATTCTGTTTTTTTGGCTTGGGAAATATACCTGGAGCTAGAGGCCAATTGGTGGCTTGGTTGTTGACAGACACGTGGACTACCACAATTGAACTTGATTATCCTTTATCTATGGTCTCCTTTTACTAACAGTACGCTCCCTTTAGACATGATCAAGGAGGCTATTGCCAATTTGAAGGACAGAAATGGATCATCGTATGTGTCTTTTGTTTTTCTTTTTTTTTTTTATTTTTGTTTATTTTCTTGAATTGATCTCAGTGGCATCCTCGTTCTTTCGATACTAACTCCTCCATTAGCCGTCAAGCACTCAAAAAGTATGTTCAAAGCAACAACAACATTAAGGCTGCCAATTTTGACTCCTTGTTCAATACCGCTTTGAAGAAGGGTGTTGATACTGGTGTCTTTCTCCAACCAAAGGGACCAGCAGGATTAGTCAAGTTGAACAAGAAAGCAGCTGCACTCAAGGAATCCAAGGCAAAGAAGGAGGTCAAGAAGCCAGCAAAGAAATCTTCTGCTACTGCTGGACCTAAAAAGGTCACCAAAAAGACACCTGCCAAATCCACCACCACCAAAGCCGCCGCCACCACCACCAAGAAGGCTGCTGCAAAGAGTGCTACTAAAGCCAAGCCTGCTGCAGCCAAGAAGGAAAAGGCTGCTCCAAAGAAAGCAACCAAGGTCGCCAAGAAGTAGGGTGATTGTTGTTGCTTATGGTTGGGTTTAACAACTCGACGTCACTTTTCCCCTTTAAGTTTTCAATTCAGTCGAATGAGAGTACATTTGTTTTATTCCTTATCTTTTGTTTTAAGTAATCTCTTGATGTGTTTATTTTGTATCAGTTTTTGCAAAGTGTAGATGGGCATACTCTGTCAGTTCTCTGTGTCGCGACGTCAAAGACAAAATTCAAAAATTTACCTGGTCCACTAATCAACTCACCAACGCCATGTCGAAGCCAGTTGTAACCATCATTGTTGCTGCACTCAAACCATTGTACGGAATAGGTAATCAAGGTGGCCTCCCCTGGCGATTACGCAAGGAGATGGCATACTTTAAACGAGTCACGACGCGTACCGTTGATCCATCATTACGAAACGCAGTGATCATGGGAAGGAAAACTTGGGATTCAATACCGCCCAAATTTAGACCTTTACCTAATAGGCTCAATGTTGTATTGTCCAGGTCATTTGAGAACGAGGCAGTTGATGATAACATCTTGCATGCAAGGTCAGTGCTGGATTCATTGCAACTCTTGAAGGAACGGAATATTGAACGTATTTATGTAATCGGAGGTGCTGAGATCTATAACGAGTTTATCAAAAGTGGGTTGGTCGATAATGTCTTGTTGACGGAAGTTGAACACACTGAGAAAGAAGAGATTGAAATGGACACATTTTTGAAATTTGATGCTAACCAATGGATTAAACTGTCGAAATCCGAATTGATTGAGTTCACGGGAGAGGACGCGATCGATGACGATATACATGAGGATAAGTTTGTTTACAACTACACATTGTGGCAGAAACAGTAAGTGTGTGTGTGTGTGTGTGTGTGTGTGTGTGTGTGTGTGTGTGTGTGTGTATATATATTTACAAGTGATGTCTACTTCTTATCATCAAACACTCTCATTCTCGAGATAACTCGATCGTCATAAGCCAACTCTTGAACCCATTCTGATCCTCTTTCAGTACCTCTTTTAACCCAGTTTGGTGGCCAGTCAACCTCCTCTTCCTTGGCCATCAAAATGTCTTTTTGCTTAAATGGTCTGGCGTCTTTATTCACAATATGGGTGGTTCTTTCGCCATAGTCGTCAGCAAAGAATCTTTTGGTAAAAAACCGGTAAATCTTACGTGGCACATTCTTGAAGCCCTGGATTGTTGGCACCGAGTAGACATAAACTGGTTGTTCAAAAAATAATGGAACCCCCTTGTCATCTTTAAGTATGGTGTCCATATTGAGTTCTGGCGCCAAGGGAGCATTGGCATATTCTGAAGAGTTGATGAATTTCATCGGTACCGGTTTCAAACTGTCATTATCCTCGTCATCCTCGTCACTATACTTGCTTGGATTTTCCTCCTTGTCTTTGGCTTTTTGTTCTGCCCTACGAGCCTCTTCATCGGCAATAGCTTGTGGCTTTTGCAATGGTCCTAGCAAACCTTCGTGTACCCCACTCATATACTCTTTGAAAGCTCCTCTGCCAATACATACAACCCCTCCCGCCACTTCATTATCTGCGTCGTCGGATACAATGTCAATCTTTTTCGGGAAAACCTTGTACAATCCGAGAACATCACTTGGAGTGTACAAATCTGACCGTTTCACATACTCTGGCTCCTCATTTGGATCACTAGATTTACCTTGATCAATTTGCAGTTTTGCTTTTTCAGCTTCCTTGATTCGCAAATCTCTAATCCTTTGCGCCACGCTAGATCTGATATCTCCTTGTCTGCTCTCGCTAAATATTTCAAAATCAACAGATCCAGAATTCAATACCGGTTTGATAAACTTGCGGAAAATTCTCAACGACTCATCGAGATAATCGTTTGGTGGGGGTGCTATGTAGATTGTCAATTTCCTAGGTATTCTATCGTTGGTGTATACCTCTTCACCCAAATGCGACACACTTGCCATCCATTTCTTGCGAATCTGTTTCTGTTCGTATTTATCGTAAGCTATTGATGATCCGACTCCAATAAGAACGGACCAAAAGATGAGCCAGTTTCGAGAAGGGAGTGAAATTCTGGGGATGCCCATCATTCGCAAAGCAGGGTTAGAAAACCCTTTCTTCTTTGGTGGTTGTAATTTACCATCGGGTTGTGGTGGCTGTGGTGGATGTGGTGGCTGCGGTGGCTGCAGTGGTTGTGGTGGCTGCGATGGCTCTGGTTTAACCTCACTCATTGCTCGTAGAGGTAAAGGGTCTGGCTGTGAGTACTCTAGTAGTTGATGCTGGAAAGAAAAGTAAAGAAAAAAAAAAAAAAAAAATTTTTTGCGCAATTTGCAACATTCGTCTTGCACTGTTAATTTATAAACCTATTTAGTTCTATCATCAAGTCATCGTGATTCAAATCTTTTCCTATAAAGACCAACTTGTTCTGTTTGATTTCGTCTAATAGTTTCCCATTTTCTATTATTTCGTAAGTTTCTCTGACTCCCTGAACTACTCTAACATCGTCCTTGTAAACAAGGACTCCTTTCAAGCGATGAATTTCCACGTCTTTACCATCCACTTTGTTCTCCCAAAGTACGTACTGGAGAAACTTTTCAATCTTGTCAAAGCCACTTTGATCTTGGAAAAAGGCAAAGTCTATAGTTATCGTTGTGATCCTGCCGTCATGAAATGAAGCACTGGATTCCAGCAACTTGGTATTTGCTTCAAATGCGTGCAAGTCCAAAATCTTTTCGAGATCTATATCACCAAAACTTGTGAGGTGGATGGGTGCTGTTTGGTTGACACTTCGAAGTCTCTCAACAATCTCGGTTGAGTCTTGAATCTTGTCCGATTTGTTCAACAAAATAACATCTGCTAGTGCAACTTGCAAATGAGCAGTTGTCACGCCCTCCTCAATTGGCTCCAAGTCGTGCTGCTTATGCCAGTGTCCGCCAACGTCATTCAAACAAGTAAGTATATTTTCAGAATCAACAACGGTCACAACACCATCAATGTAAATATTCGACGCTAGTCCTTCATCGAGCCAAAACATTTTAGCGATAGGTGCTGGGTCAGCAATGCCAGTCGTTTCTAATAAGATGTAGTCGATCTTGTCTCTTGAATTCTCCACTAAATTCTCAATGGCAGTCACACCATTGTCTTTGACTGTACAGCATAAACAGCCATTCCCGATATCTAGCCACTCTTGTACGCTTTCATTCTGGTCCTGTATCGTCACCGACTTTTCAATTACTGATGAGTCTCCAAACTCATTCAAGATGATCGCTAGTCTCTTGTTTGATTTTTCTCCAATCTTTTTGAGTAATGTGGATTTGCCTGATCCAAGATATCCAGTGACTATTGTGATGGGGATTTTTTTGGTGGAGGATACAGTCGTCGGATTTATCAGTGTCACAGGCTCAGTCGTGACCTTTTCTGTTGTTATTATCCCATTGTCAGGTAAATCTACCACCAATTGTGGTATATCTTCTTCCATATTCAATGCAATGATGATGCAAGTGGGGCAAAAGACCCTTTTGGTTTTTGGTTTTTGGTTTTTTCTTTTCCAGCTGAGAAAGTCAACATTTGTACTCAGCTCCATCCACCTAATTACAATGAAAAAGTTCAACAAAGTACTCGATGCGGCATTGATAGCGTTGGTGACGTACTATCTCGTCATCTCACCGTACACCAAAGTTGAAGAGTCCTTCAACATCCAAGCTATTCACGATATTCTCAACCATGGCGCTTTTTCTACCGAGGCTATTGAAAAGTACGATCATAAGCAATTTCCAGGAGCGGTGCCAAGGACATTTATAGGCAGCTTGTTGCTTGCTGCTTTAGCCAAGCCGGTAATATTTGTATCCTCCATTTTTGGCAAAGATTTGTTGCAAGGAGATCAATTGCAACTACAGAGCATTGTTCGCGGGACCTTGGGTCTTGCCAACGCATTGTCGTTGATCAGACTTAGAGATCAACTCAACAAAGTCACTTTTAGAGATAGAGGGAGTAGGATTAAAGGACTAAATGGGTTCTGGTACTCTATTTTGTTGTTGTCCCAGTTCCACTTGATGTATTATCTGTCACGCACATTACCCAACTTTATAGCTTTACCGCTCGTTAATCTTGCATTGAGCAAGTTGGTTGTGGGCGATTTGTCAGGATTGACATGGTTAGCTATGACAGGTGCTATATTCAGAGTAGAAGTGGGTGTATTTGCCGTGGTTATTGCTGTTGTTTCGTCCTTGATATTTGGACAATCAAATATTGTTGCAAATATTGTCTTTTTACTTGCCGGTGCTGTGTTTGGTACAGCTGCTTCGTTTTGCATTGACTCGTACTTTTGGGGCGAACCCCTTGTACCTGAAATCAGCTCCTTCGTTTTCAATATTGTCAATGGTAATGCTTCGGAGTGGGGGGTTGAACCGTGGGGAGCATATTTCAATAAATATCTATTCAAGTTGTTCAGACCCCCAGTAATTCTCATGTTGTCGGCTGTTGGATTTTTGAGTGACCCTGCCGATGACGGAGTTGCCATGACAAATACCAAAGCTGTTCGACACCCTGCAAGAAACTCCTTGCGTATATTGTTCACATCGTCCATCTTGTTTATTGCCATCATGTCCTTCCAGCCGCATAAGGAATGGCGGTTCATCATTTACACTGTGCCTGTGTTTACCCTACAAGCTGCCAATGGATTGAGCAATATCTCCATTAAATGGAGTCTCGGGTTTTCCAACAAGTTGTTGACTTTGATCATTTCCTTCTTGATTTTAGTTAGTACTTTGCTCTCCTTGTATCTGGGGTACATATCCAGTTTCAACTATCCTGGCGGAGAAGCGTTGCAATATGCCAATGACTACGTGTTGGAAAACTTTAGTGGGAAAAATGTGTCCCTTCATATTGATGTTCCTGCTTGTATGACAGGGGTTACCAGGTTTGGTGAACTACACCTCGAAGAGGTAAGGTATGACAAGACTGAGAGTGAGGTTAAATATGAAGATTTTGATTTGGTTATCACCACCGAACCTCTCAGCGATTGGAAGCTTCTACACACAGCCAAAATCTTCAAAAGTTTGGATCCCACCACCATCTTCAAGTTGATACAAACGCAAAGGGCTAATCGCTCCACTGCAGTTGTCCTATTGAAGATTGTGGCTGAAGAGTTCATGAGCGGATCAAATGAAACTTTGTTGAATTTGTTACGATCCACCATTGCTTTAGAGGACTACATTCACATTTATCAAAACCCAACCCATTCGAAGGAGAATCGTATAGATAGTGTATCTTGACTCGCGCATTATTAATCATTAGCTATGTTAAAATTCTAGGTTCCCGTTTTACTTTGCTTGCGGGGGAAAGCCGAACATCATTTTCCTCTCCTGTAGGAAATGAAATAGGCTTAATACGACCCATTCGTTTGGCAGTGGAAATAATGGAAGTGTCATTAAAGGAGTTCAACTGTGATTGACCTTCTATGGGACTCGTAGAGCTGGAAGTGTTTGGACTAAGAAACTCGTTCCCATGAGGACTTTTTTCATCTTTAGGCGGCGATAGGTCAACATTGTAATTTAATTTCACCGGAGAAATGGGCTTGACCTTGTACCGTGGAGATAATTTGGCCCTTCCAAAGCGTTCTCGAAGTTGGGATACTTGTTGATCTCTCATGCGTTGGGATGTTGCCTGCATCTTTGAGGGACTTGGTTCTTTTGATCGAGGGGTTGAAATTCTGATTGGCGAGAATCGTCTCTCAGGTGTAGGAGCTGACAGATCTCCTTTGAGCTGTCTTTGCTGATGAGCTCTGCTTGCGAGAGGGGATGAGTTGCTGACATAAGTCTCGTTAGCGAGTTCCTCTTCTTCCAATCTGAGATTGTGTTTTTGTAACCACAAATGGATAACATTTCTTGCCAATCGCTTATCTGCTCGCTCTTGAAAAGTTTCTAATAGTTGGTGATGTCTCTTCACCCCTTTGCTAAATTTAAAAATCCAATCCTGAGTGCTCTGTCTCAAAAGCGCAAAATTCTTTTGCGCAAGTTGGTCCTCGCCTTGCTCATTTATAGCATCAATCTGTTCAAACCGATCCCTCCATTGTACGAGCATCCGGAACATCAACCCCTCGTCATAAATAGCGACCCTTTCCTCCAATGCATGCACCTCATCTACACGTTTGAACCAATGTAGGAAGAATGTACGAAGTCCAGGAGTGTATGAAAACTCAATGCTTTGTAATTCTTGTTGGTACCAGTGTTGTGCCCTCCAATCAAAGAAATATCTCCGCTTTATCAATGCATTTGAGTAAGCGGTGAATTTTGGAATGCGTGCAACTAATTTGTCCTCCAATGCAGAATCAAACTTATCCTTCCAGATTGCTAAAGTGTGCTTGAGTGTGTGTTTGTCAATAAGCTCGACGTTTTGAAATTCACTTTGCTGTTTCTCAAAACGAGATTCCCACTTGGCGAGGAAGCGTTTTAGGTGCACCCTTTCAGCTTGGATGACTTTTTCTATGAGGGTATACTTTGCAATTCTCCATTGCTTAAGAACAACCTTGGTCAAATAATAGTTTTGAAATGCTACTGCTTCGGCATTTCGCTTCACTGCGGTATCGAACCTGTCTTTCCAGTGCTGGAAGACAGACACCACGAACTCTTTGTTAACGAGATCCTCGCAACGCTTCACCAATGATTGAAGCCTCCATTTCTTAAACGTGTTTTTCAACATGTGTAGTTCTAATGTGGCCAGTAACATGTTAGCATTGCTTTCCATTACCCACCGCTTGAAATATCTTTGAACGAGATTCCTATTCTGAAACGAACGAGCTTCGATCTCCGTGGTGGAGCTCAATTTCCATTTCTCAAAAACAGTCCTCTTCTTTGCAGCGTTGTGATCATACATGATTCTATGTGCCCAATCATCAAGGTGTAGTTGGCACCGCCAATTGTTCAAGACAATGCAAACCATACGACGGTTCTGTTTGTGTTTGAAATCTTTTAATTTAAAGACTATTGTCGCGGACTGTCGCCACTTTCGAAAGAAAATTTCAACTGCAAAGTTGTTCCTTATTGAGTTGAAATGTTGCAAGCTAGAAAGGAGTTGTCCGGTACCGCAACTCGCATTCAATAACTTGTACCAATTGGAAAAGCTTCTCTTGAGAAGCGACTGAGTGCTTGTTCTAACAAAGTCATCACATTTCTCCTCCAACTCAAATTCGATCTGATTATTGCGGCTCGTATTATCCCGCCAGGCATTCATACACTTTCTGCGTAGGTTGTTGGTGTAGGTCCTTTCTGAATCGAGTTCTTGCCCTTTGTGTAGCATAAATATGTCGAGCCATTTGTTGAATCCGCGAGTCAAACTGAATTGTCCTGATATCGCCCGAAATGCCTCTGCTCTCCTCAACTTATTTCTCAACCTCGATATCATCTGCAACTGTAGCTTTTCTTTGTATTGAGATGTGGCAAGCTGATCTCGCAACTCACTCTTCTTTATGGCTGACCTCCATTTTGAAATTATTTGCAATCTCTTGTCTAGCTCCAGGTATCGCCTGTTGATAACTTGTACTTTTTCCAATTTCACCCTCCACAACCGAAATGTACCCTCCTCTAAACGAAGCAATCTTTCAAACTCAAAACAGCTACCACGCATAAGCAAAGTAACTTGCTCCGAGGGGTTTTCACATAGTAGCAATGACTGTAGATATATAAATCGGCGAATAAGATTCCCAAACTCGACCCCCACGTCATCTGTGGAAAAAATCGAATTGACAAGGTTCGGCATTTCCTCCAAAAGCTTGTGATCCTCTCTGGTAGCACTACATATGTTTTGGTCCACAAACTGGATGTAGTGTTTGAATAGATGGGGGAAGCAAGGGTCGACTTCCTTGGTCAAAGGTTCGAGGTCTTTGACAATCTGCGTAAGACGAGGAATTACCGACCTCGGGTCTGCTTGTGCAAGTTCCTTTGCGTTTCTTTCTCCGTTGAACTCTTGCATATACCGCTGGTTCAAATTATTGTGGGTTCCAGGAAGTAGAGGAGAAATGTCAATCTCGTCACCATTCTCAAAATAATTTACATGTTGCTGCTTTTTGAAGGCCTCTACTATTGCCCAGGATACTTTCCAAATGCTCATTGATGGACGTCCGACCAATATTGGCAAGCAAAGACGATAAATCGCCAAAAATGAGGGACTATTGGAGTCAAGTTCTAGCGGGTGGTGAATGTCGACAGATTGAGTAATACTGAAAATTGAGTCTTCATTGTCCTCGAAGTTTTGTGATTCAATAATGTCTGCGAGCACTTGCGTGTCCTCCAATTTATCTTGATCAACATTATTCTTGTAATAGTTCACATCGTAAGAAAGGCACAAACACACATAATTTCGAAGTTTCCATTCCGCATCGTCTCTCATTTCAATAGCTTGGCGCAAGATCCCGGAGAGTCGCTTTGCTATCATGTGGTACTCGGGCTTTATTCGGAGTTGGTTCTCGGGATCGGATACTAGTTGAAGTAAATCGTGGAGTACGTGCTGGTCGGATCGATTCTCTGACTTTAAATGGCTTGCAACATCAGGAAATTCAAGATTTTGTTGCCTTTCTGCGCCACCACGGTAAACAACTGAACACTCCCCAATTGTTTCAATGTTTGTTTGCAAGTTCAATTCGTGACAATCTCCATCCATCGCTAAAATGGCTTTCACAAGGTGTAGTGCAGACTTTACTCTGGTCTCATATTGTACCGCGTCAATCTTGTTAGAATCCTCAAGCTGTTTCAATTGTTTCAACAAATTATGTAGCTCTGCCTTGTATTCCATTTTAAAAGAAACAAACTTGCCTTCATGAGAAAGGTGCTGAAGCTATGTGTATATCGATCTGTTGTAGTAGTAGTAGTAATAGTAGTAGTAGTAGTAGTAGTACCCTGTGCATGATTTGTTTGTTTAGATTTTTCTTTTTCTTTGTGTACCTAAATTTAGACCTGTTCACAAGGCTTTCACTCTTCATCTCCCCCCTCCTCCTGCCAAGAAGGTTATATCTGTATCCAAAGTGCACCCTCATTCAAGCTTACCCAACGCTACTACCGGGGGCCGTATGACGAACAGAAGATCTGCCAGCTACGATTCACAGCGCGTGAAAGTCCCCGGTTCCCAATATGCTCAGTACAATTCAGCTCAGGATTCACTGCAACTGCAGAACACACAAATGAGAAACGTGAAACCTCGAATGGCCTCGGATTCGGTGATTTACGACAAGTACAGTGATCTATCATATTACAAACCACCACAAACTCAGTACCACTCCCTGGGATCAAATTCAGAGAGAGCCAGTTTTGACTCAGTTTATAGCTCAAGCGCAAGCCAATCGTTTCGTACCCCTGTTAGTCAAGAATTCAACCACGGTGGTGGTGGTGGTGGTACTGGTAGTGCCGCCAGCTCTGTACTACCCTATCCAACTCTGGATTTGAACACCATAAGTCCTGTTCCTGAGTCCCCGGAGGCAGAGTCGAGCAAACAAGGAGGGTCTTCCTCTCCGTCAAAATCCATGACTAATAGTTTTACTTCTAACGCTATAGGATCCATAATAGGGAGCTACAACTACAGCCAGAGCTCTTTCGGGCTTGAGAGGAAGTCAACTTCACCTGAATTGATGAAGCAGACCTCGAGTGATTCATACACAAGGATTGGTCTGGAAAATAGTCGGTCCACTATGTCACATCGGCGACAAAGTTCTGATACGTCTACTTTATCAAACATTTCATCAAATGAACAACAAAACAAGAGTAAGCGTTTTGCTAGGTATGCCATGAACACGCAAGCGGATTCAGTAAATCAGCCAAGGAGGTGGGATATCGACAGTGTTATTTCGTGGTTGAAGGAACATCAGTTCAATACATCGTGGCAAGAGACTTTCAAGAATAATGAGATATCAGGAAACCGGTTTTTGGAATTGGAGAATTTTGACAAAAACTCAATGATTTGGAAACAATTTTCAAAATATTTGAAGCTTGATTCTGATGCCAATTCAATTGAACGGTTTATCGAGCTACTACGACATGAAACTGAAAATGAGTCGCTGGGAAAGGATGCCTCTTTGTTATCTGCAATTGCCAAGAATGAAAACAGGAAATCGACGCCAGTGTTTACAAAACACAAGTCCAGCTCGTCTGTGACATCAATAAACTCGGCACCGTTTTCAACTCAGAGACCGGTATCGTTCGTTGATGCGAGATCCAAGGAGCAGCATCCTTCTACTTCAAGTCACCTGCTATTTCGAATAAATAAAAGCGTCTCGAATGAGGGGGACGCAAGGAGAAAGAGTCTGGCTCTTGATGAGAATAAAAGACTTTCGAAATTGGACTTTACAAAAAACGGTAGAATTCTTAATACAATTAGAAAGTACGGTGGAGACAGGGCCGTTGGTATGGTGAAGGCATCTACAGGACGACAAAGCAATCGAAATAGTACAGTACTGATGAACTCTACTCAGCTGTCAGAAAAGCAGGAGTTTGAAAGTCTATCCCCAACATTGATACCTCCAAGACCAACAGCTAGTAGGACATCGATAGATAGTGCAAACTCTGGGAGCTCGGTTCCATCATTTCGAATTGAAAAGTATGATGAGTTGCCATCACCGTTGGATGAGGAATACATGCCGCAAAAGTTTCTGCAAGAAACTGCAAAGACTATCTTGCTTAGTCGTGACAACAGGTCGTTTATTCCGTATTCGTTGGCGAATGACGACGTGGACGACATTAGTTTGCTCAGGCTGAAAATGATTCTGCATTTGGGAATGGTAGATATGGGCACGATAACCATACACTTGACTGATTTCAATGCGACTGAGGGCGGGGCGTTGCCCGATGATTTGTTATACAAGATACTTTGTCAGGACTCAGAATCGATGGCGAAGTTTGTGGTTAGACAGGATATTGGCTCACCAGGGACAACGATTAAAACCATTTCCACGTTTTCGTCGGATTCCAAATCCTTTGAAACTAGTGATGAGCATAGGACATACCCGGAAACCCCACAATATCTATTGCAGACCACTAATGTTGCCAAAGTTGACTATTTGAACTTTAAGGAGCATGCCAATTTGTCGAAAATTTCTGAAAATCCGAAATCTTTATCGAGAGGAACTCAAACTGATATTTCAATTCAACACGAGCAAAAGACAAATGAACCAGAGCCATTTTCAAATGAATTGAGTAGAAATTTTGATCAACTAAGACGCAAATCCAGTCTTCACAATTTCCCATTGAAATTCCCATTTCGAACCAATAGTAAAAAGAAAACTCCCTTGCTCCAGATTGATACAACTGGCATAAGCAGTCTGAGAAACTCATCCATATCTCCTGAATCTGCAGGGGGCTCGTCATTCAAGGTGATTAGAAAAAGCGGTAACGAAATAAATTTTGATGAGAGACGGAAATCGCCATTTGAGAGGAAAGCGCCAAAGTTGATTGCAAATATATATGAATCTTCATTATCTGATTACAAAAGTTCGCCCATTTCAGCAACCACTGTCATGACATTGAGAGATGATCCTAAGGATTCTGTGTTGAAAAAAAGTGTTAGTCAACGGAGTGACCTAAGGGCAACGGCGACGGCGACGGCGACGGCAGCCGCGGCGGCGGCAGCGTCAGACTCTATCAAGGCACGGAGAGCCGCTCCGCCACCTCCGATTTCAGTGGATAAACGATCGCGGATATTACGAGACCGCAATTCTGCGTTGTTCAATGGTCATGCCTTGCATTCCCCTAGCTCGAGCATTAGTAGAGATGCTGATGCGGATAGTGATGATGACTTTTTCGTAAAGCCAATGAGTAGGAAAGGTGTGCTCGGTGATACAAGGGCCCATGACAAGGATGAGGATGAGGATGAAAATGAGAATGAGAATGAGAATGAGGAGGAGGTAGCATCAAGACATTCCGAAGATACTGATTCGGAAAGTGACTTTTTTGCGAAACCAATGAGGAGGCAGCGGACGCTTCAAATGTCAGTTCGGCCGCCCGTTGAGGATCTTTATGATAATTTGGAAATCTATTTCCCTCACACCAATCTCGACAAGCCTATAATTGATGAGGAGACTCCGGCACAGCCAATTAAGGAAAAAACGCCGTCCATATCACGGACTTTTTCAAATGCCAATATATCTCCTGTCAATCCAGAGGAGAGGGAATCTACAAGCAATGCCAGGGTTCGGCGAATGAAGACAATTAGAGGTGTTGCTAATGAGGCACGTCGTAAAGCATTGAAACAAAAGCAGCAATCGCCACCTATTACATTTGCCAATATTTCAAGAGAAAATAGTAAGAGGTTGACAAGATCAAATACCAAGATGTGGGGACAAAAGGTTTTTGAAGTTACGAGTCGTGAAATTGAAAAGGGCGTTGTTAATAAATTCCAAAACAAGAATGGTAGGTATCAGGAATTTGCGTGGATTAAGGGGGAATTGATTGGACGGGGTTCTTTTGGTGATGTATATTTGGGGTTGAATGTGACCACAGGTGAGATGTTGGCGGTGAAGCAGGTTGTCAAGAGTAACAAATTAGATCTTGAAGGAATAATGGCGTTGCACAAGGAGGTTGAGACAATGAAGGACTTGGATCACAAGCATATTGTGCAGTATCTTGGGTATGAGCAAAATAACAACACCTACAGTTTATTTTTGGAGTATGTTGCTGGTGGGTCGATTGCCATGTGTCTTAAATCGTATGGTAGATTTGATGAAACCTTGATTCGAATAATAACCAAGCAAGTGTTGCTTGGGTTGGAGTACCTCCATTCCAACAATATTATTCATCGGGACTTGAAAGCGGACAATTTGTTGTTGGATATTGACGGTACTTGCAAGATTTCTGATTTTGGGATTTCACGAAAAAACAATGACATATATAGCAACGCTAATATGTCGATGAAGGGGACCATATTTTGGATGGCTCCTGAGGTTATTGATAATATGGTGGAGGGGTATAGTGCTAAAGTTGATATTTGGTCCTTGGGATGTGTTGTTTTGGAGATGTTTGCAGGAAAACGTCCTTGGTCGAATGAGGCTGCAATTAGTGTTATTTATAAAGCTGGAAAGGAAAAGAAGGCCCCACCAATACCTAAGGATATTGCACATTTGGTTAGTAAAGAAGCTGAGAATTTCATAAACCGGTGTTTTGTTATAGATCCGGCATTGAGACCAACTGCTGAAGAGTTGTTGAATGATCCGTTTGTTACCACTACGCGAGAGTTCAATTTCGCGTCGACTGAGTTGGGACGACTTATAAAGATTAATAGTAAAGTATATCCAATGTAAATAGAAGAAGGCACGACATATTTTTGGTTATCTATGTACAGTTGTTGTCTGTGGTGCTCACCTTAATCTCAACTCATTGATCCTCAAGACTGTTTGGTATGGCTCAACATTTGTGGTTTTTGTTCTTCTACACCTTGGTTTCTTCTTCACCACTTGATAAAGTGGTTCTCTCGTGATTTCGACAACACTTGCGCGCAATTCGTAGATTGATGGGTCAATTCCGGTTTTTATGTTCAACGTATGAGTTGTGGACCCCAATGTAGTCACGTCATTCAAGTTTAAAACGTCACCAACTTTGACGTTCTTCATCTTGTATGGGAGGTAAATTGTATCTCCCTTGGTGACTAAGTAGGGCATATTGTATAGCCGCATGATAGCATACAAGTCCTTAGATCCATTGGATGATAATTTGAGTGCGGATAAGTTGTGCTGATAGTCTTGTTTTGGGGAGGAGATTGTTGTTGAAAGTGGATTGTGTTGCGGTATGACTCTGGCTGATGAAGCAGAAGCGATTGTGCTTTGGAATCTAGCAGCAGTGATATTGTAGTTGCATATTGGCCGTATTAGTCTCGCCGTTCGACTAAATAGAAGGGACATGATTGTCAAGGGACTTCTGAAGCAGCAGCTAGTTGTTCCTTGGATCTAATATTCAGTTAAAGGGATGAAAAAAATGGAAAAGTTGGAAAAATTTTCTGTGTCGTGAGATAGAGTAATTAGACACAGCGCTACCTTTAACAAAAACGGACTCCTACTACAAGTAGATAATTTTACATAAAAAGTGGCGGCGTTTCAAGTGATAAAAGCAATATTAAGTATCATCTGATGGGTTAGAGTATTAATTGGATAATGGTTTGCGATATCAGGAAAGTAGAGGCGTCCCACACTCTATGAATTTAGCAGCAATGTCTCTTTCGCGTGTTTCTTCGACAGAGAGAGAAAGAGAAAGAGAAAGAGAAAGACTGGAAAAAAAAAAAAAAAAATTTTTTAAAAAGTGAAATTGGTAGCTCTTCAGAAGAAAGAATTTGATTGAGATTGCATTCAACAACAACCAACAATCAATCAATCAATCAATCAAACTTAACTTTCACTAGTTAACCCACACACACACACACACACATACATACATACATACAGACATAGACATCTACACATACTCACATATTCCAATCACAGTTGCCCTCTACCACATAACCAAAAGAAGAGGACAATAGCTGAATCACTTTTTTTTTTTTTCTTTTTCTTTCATTTGCTTCTTCACTTCACAGGAACCCGGCCCGTCGAGATTGTTATCACACGAAGTCGCCTTTCCAATAGCTGCAGAGCAATTCAAAAAGTAAGAATAGTCCCCCTTCACTGCCAAACGCTCGTTAAATGGTTCTACCAATTGGGTCTTATACTTCAAATCAGATCTATTTTTGTACATATTCACCTGTTACGGTCTTTAGAAGCAGGTACATTATTGCACATTGCATCGCACATTAAACATTTTATTTTGGATAGGGTTGCCAAGGTTATTATCAACCCCATATTGATCTAAATCATATTGCATTAAGAGACAGAGGGACATAATGTCGGGATCGTTTTGGAAGTTTAGCAATGGGTTCACATCCCTATCTAATATCACAACTTTACTCGAAAACTACAATCTGAACCAAGAGCAGAATGACTCGCTGTCTGTGGATACAAACAAACTAAAAGACGAGCAGCGTGATGTACTTATCAAGTTGTTGGATGAAAATGACTTGCTACAGGAGCTCTTATCTAATAATCCAATGTTGTTGGAGTTTTTAAGAGACGAACATGTGTTGAGTATGTTGGTGGATATTGTTATATCAAATGATGCGGCAACGGATACTCAAGATGAAAAGAATAAGAAGGGAGAAGAAAACTTTAGTTCAGAGGAAAAAGCTGTGAATGCAACCACATCAATAGATGATCAAGACTCATCCTCATCCGACTCAAAAACCGAGAAAAAGACTCGAAATAACGAGTCTAGTGATGAGCAAAGAAAACAAGGCAAATTCTCCAAAAAAGGCGACGGGGGTGACCTGGACGACCAGGATGAGGAAGAAGGAGAAGAAGAAAAAGAAAATGACGACGACGAAGAAGAAGAAGAAGACGATGATGTTGATGATGATGACGACGACGACGATGATGATGAACTGCCAGAAGAAGTATTCAGACGAAGGGCCACGTTAGCTTCAGAGGTGCTCAGTGCCGATGTTTGGTCTTTGACTGATACGGTTATGGAGTCTACTGAAAACCTTAATAAGTTGTGGGGCGTCTTGGGTTCAAAGAATCCACTTGATATTCACGTATCAACGCATTTTATGAAAATTATGGAGCATTTGCTCGATATGAAGTGTGACGAAATGATCACCTACCTCATAGATAATCAACCCAACTTGGTAGAAAAGTTTATCAACCACTTGTCTAACCCACCATTGATGGATTTCTTGCTAAAATTGATCTCAACTGACAAACCTGACAATTCGACTGGGATAATTGAGTTTTTGCAAAATCAAGATCTAATTTCACATTTAATCAGTGCTTTGGATGTGTCTGATGTTCCAGAAACTGAAAAAGAGAAAAGTGGAGGTGATGGTAAAAACCATGAGTTACTCTTGATTGAGCAAAGCTCGGCGGCTGATTTCCTCAAAGCTTTGATAACCATATCGGCAAACTCGACTGCTGACAATTCCACAATTGGGCCCAACGAACTCACCAGAGAGCTTGTTTCGAAAGAAAAAATGACTAGATTGTGTGATATCATGCTCAAGGGAGGGTACGCTTTGGCAAATGGTGTTGGAATCATTATTGAAATCATCAGAAAGAACAACTCTGATTACGACATTTTACCTGTACTATACATAACTTTGGAAAGTCATCCTCCAACTGGAAGAGATCCAATCTATCTAGGTCACTTGTTGAGAGTCTTTGGAGAACGAATTCTGGACTTTAACAAGTTGTTAATCAAGGAACACACCGATTCAAAGTTGAAAACGCCGTTTGGTGTGATTCAACCCTTGGGATTTGAAAGGTTTAAAATTTGCGAATTGGTGGCTGAGTTGTTGCATTGTTCCAATATGGCATTGTTGAATGACAATAAAGGTTTTGATGTTGTCAAAGAACGTGATGAGTTGAGGGAGAAGATGAAGGAGTACGATCCAATCAGCTTCAAGTATAATGAGGCAATTACGTTACCACGAGAAGACAAACCGGAAGAAAATGAACCCGAAGAAGAGGACAAGCAGCAGAAGAAGAAGAAGAAAAGTGAAACTGACGAAACTGGAGACACTATTAAAGACGATACGATTGATGAATTCAATAAACAGGATGAAACGATAGATGAAGATGAACCTCATGCAAACTCGAATTTGACCGAAGAACAGATCAGAGCAAATCCAGTAGTAGGAGACTTTTTGAAAATCGCGTTATTTGACACACAAATTATTTCCAATATTTTGTCAATGTTTTTCCGTTTCCCTTGGAACAATTTCTTACATAATGTGGTATTTGATGTTGTTCAGCAAGTTTTGAATGGATCAATGGATATTGGGTTCAATAAATTTTTGGCAATCGACTTGTTTCACCTGGCTGACATTACCAACAAGATTATTGAAGGACAGAGACTATGTAATGATTACGAAACTAGTCATAATGGGTTACGATTGGGATTTATGGGTCATTTGACCTTGATTGCCGAAGAAGTTGTCAAGTTTGTGCAGTTGTTTCCATCAAACACGTTGAGTGAATATATTAATGAGAAAATTGAGAGTGATGTATGGGACGATTATGTTAGCAATGTATTGTATGACACTCGGGAAAAGTATAATGCCATTTTGGGAGGAAATGAAGATGAAGATGATAGGGATGACGAAGAGGACAACACGACATTTGAAGAAGGGTTGGGTGAGATTATCGAAGAAGTCAAAACGGGCTTGGTTTTCCAGGATGATGAGGAAAGGGAAGTGGAAGAAGCTCACGACGAAAACGCCGGTGATGATCGTCATGAAAATGAGAAGGAGAAAAGTGGCAAAAGTGGAGGAACCAAAAGCAAGAAGGATTTGTTGGACAGTGACGAATCTGAATCTGATGAAGATGATCATTTCTCGAATTACATGTCACAACAACTTGCCAATACCTCAAATAATGCAAACCAGGAGCATGAGGAGAGTTCGAGTGAGGAAGAAGAGGATGACGACAAACACGTTACACATGAAGATGACGGTGATGACTATATAGATCCTAATGACGATGGAATGTCGTACAAAAAATCCAATCCATTGTATGACAGCTCGGGGGAGTTGAAGAATGCTGCTGCTCGTCGCAAGTTTGACGACGATGATGATGAAGATGAAGATTTAAGCAATTCCAGCTCCGATGAGGAAGAGGAGGGGGAAGATGTTGATGCTGAAGCTTCGGAATTGACGAGATCTGCAAGCAAGAACTAAGCAGTATTTTAATACCCCCTCCTTCACCTTCTTCCACGCCCCCCCCTTGCTAACAATGATGACTTGAATTTTTGTGTACAAAGAAACGATAATGCATTGAAATGTTTTTTTTTCTTTTCTGATATAGAACTTTATTCTTATTCTACTTTAATTACGAACCAGTTGTATATATTAATGGACTGTTGCCTTGAAATTGGCTCTTCCTTCCCTTTCTAGTGGTGGTACTTGTTGCATTATTGGGTTGCCATCACCATTGACGGCGATGCCGTTTTCTGATTTGGCATGATCTTCCTCCGAGGGTGGTACTCCTCCCATTAATCCTTTACTCATTGCGAATCCAGATGATCTTTCACCAACTCCGCCGTCGTAAAATTCGTCTTCTATGGGATGCATCAAGACGGTGTTTTTGTTTGTGATGGTTATTAGTGTGTTGGTTGGTACACACAACCAGTCACCTCGTTCAAAAGTTAGTGGCTCACTGGCAACGAAAATGACATCCTGTGATCGATTCAACCTTTCCATTTTGAAAAGGCCCGGTTGGTATTCAAAGAATTTCGACCCGGTGCTGAAATGTAGCGATGCCGCTTCATCTGTCTTTGAGGTGATGTATCTGCTCACGACAATAGACTCGCCGTCAGTAGCAGCAAAATTCAACAAAGACGGTTCCGAAGTTACTTCAGTTTGCCAGTTCTTAATCAACTCAATAGTCTTTAGAATGGCTCCTTTTAAAATCGTATGAGAAAATTTCGTATCTCTTGACAGCGGATCATATCCCATTTTGTCTAATGTATCAAGAAACAAGGCGAAGCAACACTCTGAGTCGGTAGATCCTTGTATAAAGAGGAAGTACTTATCATCCAAATGGTTTATAAGCTTCTTTTTAATCAAGTTGAAGCACGAAATACCGCCATTATGCATAAACATCAACTTGCCATAACTGAATGGGTGGCAATTTGTTTCCGATAACACACCTTGTGTAGAAGCACGCACATGGGCAAACACCAACTCTGACTCAGTGCATTGAGACAAGTTGTTCAAGTTAACGTTGTTCCATGCTGGTGTGATGGCTTTGAAGATGCATGGCTCGTTGTGCTCGGTGTAGTACCCTACACCAAATCCATCACCGTTGATGGGGTTGCGCATGTCTAATCGTAGTCTCGAGTCGAATGACTGGTTGATTATGGAGTGAGCTGGTTTGGTCAATAGGTCTGATAGAACCATCAGCTCTCTTCCTTTGAATATCATGAACCTGCACATGGGTTTTTAATAGTGGGAGGTTTGGTGGATCTGAGGTGCCACAGTTTACATTTTTGTTTGATAATTTTTCTGTCAGTTAATTCGGGTCTGCAATGGATTATGCGAGATTTTTTTTTTGACTGAGAAAGGGAAGAGGGGGGTCTCTTTCTGTATGAGCAGAGAATAGTTCCTATACTCGGGATGTAAGCTCTATCCTACATTCCAACTAAGACACCTATGTTTTCTTTGTTTGAACCAAAAGAACATTTTGTGCTGAGATTACTGCAAAAATTACAAAAAAACTCTCAATCCGACGTAAGGAAACCGAACAAGACATTATAGAGCTGCAGATTGTTTCTGGTATTCCAGTCTGCCTGATATATCTCTAACAATATGCCCTTCGCTTCCACCCTCCCAATAGAGTGATGATCAACCACCCAGACTACAAATGTGAACATGGTAGCATCCCCTCGCTCCCGCATGGCAAGATTGCTCATGACACAAAATCCACTTCCCCTAAATTCCTTCCATTCATTTCCATTCACCATACAAAAAGAAGGCGGACCAGCCCATTCTGCATTTGAATTTTAGACAAATACCAAAAGAATTCCAATTGAATATCAGAGAAAAAGGGATCTTTGCCAGTTAAATCACCTCGATACTGTTTGTTTCTTTCTAAGCTACTAAATTTCAGTTTTACCGCCAAATCGTTCACCCTCTCCCCCAGATAATGTCACTTTTCAGAACATTGCAATCGTCACCAGCAACCGTGACTCTTTTCCACAATAACAAAATCCCCTTGTCAAACGAATTGTACAAGATCTTGAACAAAACCTACGACTCATTGCCACAAAAGCCAAAGTATGACTTTCAAATTGACTTGATGCAAAACAAGATGCCCACCTATGAGCAGTATCAGATCTTTGTCAACAAGTTTCTCAAATCTGAGCAAGCCAAAAAGACATTGCATGATAGCTTCCCCTTCTTGAACGAGAGACTGATTGATTTGCTTGACTCTCATGGAAAGAAAGTGACTATCAAGGGAATTGAATGGTCAAACAAGGTGTTTTCTCAATCAGAGTATCAAAAGATTTACGATACTTTTAACAAGTTGGTGGAGAATGAACAGGACCACTCGGTTGAGACTAATCCAAGTCAGATTTTCAAAGCTCCCTTGGTTGTCGATTGGGACCAAGACTTGTTAGCTGGAGATCAAGAAACATTGAAGGCTTTATTGGCCAAGTATATCGATCAATAAGTTAAATAGATGAAACAAGGAGAAGATAAATAAAAAAAAAAAAAAAAAAATAAAACATTAAATTGGACGTACTATACTTTATCAAAACAGCCATGGCTAGACTGTACCTACTCCTCTACAATGGAGCTTCTGCACTGCTCTGGGCATATATCCTATACCGCTGCCTGATTGACATTTCCCATGGCTACTACCTGTTCCACCCTGGACACGGCACTCCCCACAAATTTATGATTGCAACCCAATTATTCAATTCGTCATTTGAGTTTCTCCACTCGGTTCTCGGATTGGTGCCCACGCCAATACCAACATTGCTTCTCCAATCATTTGCAAGGTTGGTCATATTGGTAGGGATTTGTTTTGTTATCCCCGAATCCCCAGCCAACTACAACATATATACATTTGCCGGGTTGACGTTGGCATGGTCTATAACAGAGATTATCAGATATGGATTCTATGTACTCAAATTGGGTAAGTTCCCAGTGCCTTATTTCGTCCTCTGGTTGCGTTACTCGGCATTCTTTGTCTTGTATCCTTTGGGGCTTGTTTGTGAAAGTGCTACAGTGTACAATTCCTACCAGGTGGTTGCAACTAGGTTGCCAGGATATTCCAAATTTTTAAAGTACGCTTTGCCATTGTACCTTCCGGGATTCTTGTACTTGTACAGTTATATGATCAAACAGCGGAGAAAGGTGTTGACCAGAGAGAAGCAAAAGTTGATCTAGAAGTGGATACCGTGTTTAACAAACGTAAGAGCGTTAAAGATCTTATATACCCAACAAAAAAAACAAAAAAAATATAATATAAAAATATAAAAAATAAAATAAAGTAAAATACATCTCTGATATCTTTTATTTCTTCACACCAATGACAGAACCTAATCGATACCTCGTTGCATACAATTCAATCTCAGCTTCCTTATGGTCCATTGTGCTTTTCAACACAATTTTCCTTTCTTTAACTTTGGGACAGCCGTTTGTTTTCACCAAGACCAACCTAGTCACCACCGGAATCCAATCGTTGGCTGTACTTGAAATTGTCAATGCGGCAATTGGTTTGGTGAAGTCGCCTTTGTTTACCACTGTCACACAAGTGTTTTCAAGATTGTTGATTGTTTGGGGGATCCACCAGTATTTGCCAGACTCACCAGCTAACTTCCATTGGACATACATCACATTGTGCTTGAGTTGGTCAATCACCGAGATTATTAGATACTCATACTATGCTCAACATTTGAGAAATGACGTTCCTCATTGGTTGACGTGGTTACGTTACACCACTTTTTACGTTTTGTATCCAACAGGGGTATTTAGCGAAGTTTATCAAATTATCTTGTCGCTTGATGATGCTGGGTTATACTATGGCTGGTTTTTGAAGGCGATTTTGGTAACATACATTCCTGGCTTTTACATGCTCTACACATACATGATCAAACAGAGAAAGAAGGTTCTTGGACCTCAAAAGGTAAAAAAGAATTGAAAATAAGTCTATGTACCCTTCAGCACGCGTTTCATAATTTCAGACAATTCATTCAAAACTTGGGTCAAGGGACTCATGTTGAATGACGAATCTTGGGTCATCATTCGCCTCATGTACAAAGTAGCCACCGAGTTCTCTATTCTCGTCACTGAATTCAACAATTCCTGTATATTTGGGTCAACAAGTCTCTGGTTCTGTTTAAAGCCCTCTTTGATGTAGGTTCCTCCATTCATAAACGACAATAAATTTTCCAAACGCAACGATATGTTGTTGATTGCAGTGATGCAATCAACAGGAATGGTGCCAATCACTCTAGTGCTGTGCTGCTCATCTGCATCCAATCTCTTTTGGAAAATTTCAAACCTCAACTTGAGCCTGCTTGAATAGACCAAGGTGATCAATTCCGGAGTTTCCAACCCCTTTAGCTTTCGTTCCCCAATTTTGTAATAATTCGATCCAAGTTCCTCAATTGCAGTCAACTCTCTTTCAATGATGGTTCCTGCATTGTCGTTTCCTTGGTACGCATCACTAATTGTTTTTACATTGTTCTTTATATCCTCATGGATAAGTGTCAATGCTCTCATCTCGTCGAGAAAGTTTGAGCTGACTGCAATTTGACCACCATCAGCAATCGCACTAATACGAGAGGCTCGGTTCACCATGGGACCAAAGTAGTCCATTCTTCCAGTAACCACATCTGGCTCGCACACAGGAGAGCCCCAGTGTATACCCATACGCACAGATAATCCGCGATATATCACGTTTCCTGCACCATCAGTAACCTCGCAACATTGATCCGTTTCGAGAATCTCTGTTGGCCAATCGGCAATCAACAAATTCTGTTGCACGTTGAAACACCATAGCAAAGCAGAGGTCGGCGAAGGGAAAGCAACCATAAAGGCGTCACCTTCGGTTTTAACCTCATATCCACCCACTATTCTCAATTGACGTCTCATGATGGAGTTGTGGGTCTTGATAGCCGATCTCATTGGTGCCGGCTATGAGTCCCAAAGTAAAGTGGAGTTTTTAATATCTGTAAACACCAATGCCAACTCGCCAACAGGGGGGTCAATTTCACTCTCCAATCTACGAAGCGTTGAATCGCCCCCAACTTGTCTGTCTCTTCTCCTTTTGAAGAAATCAGACTCGCGACCAAGATTATTGTACAAGGCATTCAGTTTTGTCTTTTCTCCAAATGTCAACACAATAACCGTGATTTTGTCCGAAGCCCCATAGCATATAGCAAAGTCACGCAATTTCTGTGCAGCAACCATTGGATCATTTTTTTCTTGACGTATAATGTCAACTGCTAGCTCGTAGGAGATATAATCCCACAACACCTTTGTGGCAATGACCAACAAGTCATCAGCGGGCGTCAATGTCAATTCACTTACATCAGGGCCAGAATGCGTATGGGGCAAGTAAGAGAAATACCCGGCACCACGGGATACAGGCAAGTCTCCATCCAAATCTCCGCTTCCCGAAACATAACCACCAGAAGCCCTGATTCTTTCGAATTCTTCACGGTTTGTTGGTTTGTGGGCCGTTGTTAATACACGGAAATTACCATTGTTTTGACAGAGCAAACTCTCAATGTCTCCAATGTTTGCACAGTAGAGCTTCTTGTTTTTGATGTAGATGACAGTTGCAGACGCTCCGCTTCTTGCATCGTCAATCAAGTTCAACTCGCTTTGTTCCTTGGTGTACTGTGGACCGGGAGTAAATGTGTGGCTTTTTTTAGCCAACAAGATCCCATTTATCTCCTTGTTGAATGCTAAAAAGGCTCTTCTAAGAGCAGTATTGATTTTGTCTGGATCGTCGTTGATTTTTGCCAACTCATCGGTCACACTTTTTGTAATCATATTTCTTGCAATTAAGGAAATTCTATGACCTTGGTTGGGGGCACCATGCTTACCATCAAAGGAACATACAAGCACCTCATCCTCATTGCCTCTGAATTTTTGAATAAATAGATCGCGGTTTGAAATAAAGTCTCTTTGTCCCATGGTGTCACTCACACCGTATCCTATATTGTCCAATTCCGACGCCGTGGTTCGTATCCTCTTGTCGACAGCTTGTTCTGGTACCGAGGTTGTAGTCAATGTAACATCAATCAATCCCAACACTTTCAACTGGTCTAGTACCAACAAACTATCAAAATCTTCACCGGTTTCGGGATTTTTGACATGGCTTTGTTTGATTTCAAACCTCTTGTTTCCGGAAAAGTTCAAGTATTTCAAGTTTTTGTTCCAATGCCAGTTCCAGTCGTATGGCCAGTTGGATATATTGTATTTCAACTGGTTTGAACCCACGTCCAAATGTTGCAAATTGGTCAATTTGCTCAACTCTGCAGGAAGGGAGACCAACTTGTTGTTGTTGATATAAAGGAGCTTCAAAGTTTTTAATTGCTCTATATCATCTGCAGGAAGCGTGGTCAAATCATTACCAGACAAGTATAACTCATTTAACCGTCTCATTCGGGAAATCGACCCTTCTGGAATCTCAATCAAGTCGTTGTACGACATGTTTAATGATTTCAATCCAACCAAGAAAGATATGGCGTCAAAGCAATCGTCATTAAGCCTATTATCGGAAATTGTCAAAACCGATAACGTGTCGGCGATGGAATCCGACGCTGGCAACTCTCCAAAATCGTTGGATGATGATATACGTTTGGCAATGGCAAATGGGGGCTTGGGAAAGGAGGTTAGGTTATTACTAGCCACATTCAATACAGCCAATGAGCGCATGTTCCAAATCTCGTCCGGCAAGGTTTGGATGCTATTGGAATGGAGATTCAAGTATTGTAAGTTGAACAAGTTTCCTATTGACAACGGGACTGCTTGCAAGTTGTTTGAGTAGATGGAAAGGTATGATAATCTTGTCAACTGGCCCAATTCTTGTGGGAGGTTTACCAAATGGTTTTTGTCAAGAACCAATTTCTCAATATTTGGAATTTTGTCAACAAATTCTGGGGGGATCGCGGTAATCTTTGCCCTGGATAAGTCCAAAATGTTGAGCATTTGCAATTGGTTAACAAACTTTAACTCTGTGATTGGGTTTTTATCAAAATGGAGAAGTCTTAGGTTCTCCATACGATCACAAAATGCAGAAATCGCGTTTCTTGATGCATACAAGACCTCGAGATTTGGCAACTCTCCCAACACATCCACGTTTGCAATTTGATTGTAACGGATGTCCAACCTCTTTAGAGAGTGTAGTTCGGCAATAAAACCAGGTAAAGCCTTGTCTAGCTTATTTGTGCACAAGTTCAACTTCTGCAAGCTTTTGAGGTTGACGATTGTTTCAGGTAAATACGAGAGATCGTTGTACGACAAGTCCAACTCAATCAATTTGTCCAAATTATTGACTGCCTCCGGGTACTGATTAAAGTAATTTGATGACAAATTGAGATAAACCAAGTTTTTTAGCTCGCCAAATGACTTTGGAAGCAGAGTTAACTGGTTTGAGTTTAGCTTCAAGTGGGTCAAGTGGTCAAGGCAGTTGATTCTTACCGGCAAATCGTCTAAAAAGTTCATCTCGAGATTCAATTGGGTGAGTCCAGTTGCTTCAAGAAGATTGGTGGGAAATTTTGAACATCCGTTGCGAGAAAAATTGACACTCGTCAAGTTGGTACACGATTGGATAAAGTCTAGTGGTATGTAAATGGACGGGTTTTCCGAAACATTCAACTTTTCAATCTCGTAGGTGTGTTGGTGGAATATGATTGGAATGTTTTTGAGATTCAAGGAGGATATATTGACATCCACGTAATTTTTTGACAACAAAGCTTCCTCCTCGTGCGTTAAGCTCCTTAGGTATATGTTTTCCACCACAAATTTGCACACAAACGACATGTCGCCTCTGCCAATAATCCTTAAGTTGTCTTCCTCGGTATATCCGCTCAAAAGAAGTAAGCCAGTTTGTATCTTGATTGGTTTTTCAAAGCTCTCCAAGACTTTGACACTGTTTCCTATGTGTACGGATAACTGATAGTTTGATGCTGATTCCAAGAAAAACTTTTTCTGTACAATTGCCAAAAGTTCTGTAGTGGATGTTTCTAGCGGACACAATATGGTTGTAAATGTATTGTCTTCCTTGAATATTCGTATAATATGACTAGGGTGTGGGTCCATTGATTTCGACACGTGCGATCCTTGTCTAGTGCCGTATAGTACAGGTAACAGCTTTTCCACAAAATCTGGCTCATTAAACTCTTCTGGAACCTCCTCTATCTTGGAAGCCTTTACATCCCAACTATCGGGAGCCTTCCAATTCTGTTTAGGTGCAGTAGTTTCATCCGTTTTCACGATATCCCTCATTTCATCCAAATTCAAGTCCAAGGACATCATATTGTCTGTTGGCGCTAAGGAGTGTAGTGACGTTACTGATTGGTCTCTATGAGACACGTCTGACGGAGACGGCGTTGAATAAAGGTCGTGTTTCAGTTTCAATGGAGTTACCGGGTGATCTGGCTGAGACATTTGCAATTGGTTTGGCAGTACTGTGGAGATATGATGCGGATGGTAATCCAAAGATAAAGATGGAAGTCTGAATTTATGCTTTGAGTGACTTGAAGATGCTGATGAATTGCTTTTGCGTTTGGGGTGATGTTCTTGATTGAGAAGTTGTTCTTCTGAAACAATTGAATTGGCTCGAGAGGAGTTGCCAGAATGGGTGGGGGAGACTGATGCGTCTGATGATGTAAGCAATTGTTCCTTTTTGGAATCGTCGTCGTCATCGTGTTGCTCATCGTCATCCCCACCGCTCTCTTTTCTGGAATATATCAATTTGTTGAACAATGAGCTGCTCTTTTTCTTGAATTTTGGTTTTATCGGGTGGAGCAAGGGGGGCACATTGCTACTATTGTTTGGTCTTCTATTTGCATGAAAACCACGATAGTTTTCAAGGTTGTTAGGGTTTGTCATTGGATGGAGGAGACACGGTGATTGGGAGTGATTGGGAGTGGGGTGTTCCTTATGCTACCGTCTGTTGGCTCCAACAATTTTTTTTTTTTTTTTTCTTATTTCTTTGATGAATGTCGCAAAAAATGATTAGTTTTGGAGTGTCGTGGAAATAGTAAAACTGATGCGACATTGAGTGAGAGAAAAAGAGTGAGACGGTGAGTTAGGTCCAGCTATGGATGCAGTACAGTGGGTGGAGTGGGGATGGTGGAAAGTTGAAAAGGGCTAGAGTATGTGAATGGGTAAGGTAGTGGGGACAGTACAGGCTGAGCACAGACGCGCTGTGGCCCCCTTTCCTTTCGCTGATGGTCCATTACAGTTTCATAGTATGAAGTTATTTTGTGATTCACAGGGTCCGGGTCCAGTGGGTGTCACAGTGATGCTTGCATGCATGCACCAGCAACATGTTTGATCAAGCACTCTTTTGGTCTCATATGCACACTGAGTAAACGCCTTGTATTGAATAGCACCCGCCCCGTGTTCACTGCAACTTTCAATCGACTATTGTTGAAGAAATTTAGGAAGTGTTGCATTTGAAATTGGCATTACTTCAACCACACTTGAAATTTGTGAAAATTTTCATCCTACAGTGAAACTCTTGTATGTTTGTCTATCGTATTGTGATGGGTATAGTATGACAGGTCGAACAAGCAAGATAGTACTGCAGTCTCTACAATGTCTGCAGTATGTAGTGATAAGGTTTGCGCTTTTGAAGATTATCGGTTGAGATTAGCCACCCACCCACTCAGATGGAAGGAAGACAGTAGTTATGAGCGTTTACTCTTTTGTGTAATTTAATTTAATTTAATTTACCTTATTTTTTTTTTTTTTTTTTTTTTTTTTTTTTGCTCTCTCGTCTAACCGAAGATTTCAACAATTTCATCATTTTCATCTGTCACTCAATCATACTTACAGGAAACTTGTATCAACTGCTTCTTGCCAAGTCATTGTACTCATATGCAAGCCATGTCTGACTCGTCACGAACTATCAACCACAAGTTGAATGAAATTTTGAGCAAGAGTATGTCTTTTATCGTGAGAATCTAATGCTTTATTGTACGCGAATACTAACTATCTCCAGACAATATCAATAAACTGCACCTAGACGAATCAACCGCTTTGAATTATGCCACAGTTCTCAAGTCAAACATTTTGGGCAAGGACAAGCAAGAGAAGGTCAACTCAATAGTTGTGTTGGCCAAGCTTTTGGATTGCATTATTGGTAGTGATGCAGTGTCTGACGAATTTGTCAATGTGTTGGATCACCAACTATTCCGCAGCTTATTTTCAATCATTAGTGTCAATATGTCATCGGAAACGTACAAGGCTATCTTGAAGGTTGCTGCCGTCCACATCTCGGGCGCGATTTTTAGGTCCAAGGACACTTCAATTGTGATGTTCTTGCCATTGTACGAAACATTGATTGAGTATTTGGATGTGATTGATATTATGACCACCAAGTTACTACTCCAAGACAACAAGATCATATTGAACTCGATAAAATTGGTCACCGATCTCATCAACAGGGCCTTGAGGTACAATTACGCCGGTATCATCACTTTATCCGGTAGATTGAAGCATGTCATGTTTTTCTGCACCATTGACAGTTTAGTTGAGTTGACAGAAGACAAGCTCACCTTGGAGGCAATTGAGAAGCTAAAGGTTGCCTACTACAACTTGAACGTTCACCTCAGTAAGATCCATTTTGATTTATCAATTCCTGCACACCAAATCATGTTGAACAATTTGTTTATTTTTTTGGAGGTCTCACTTAACGAATATGGTTCACCTGCAACCACTTCCGAGTATGTCAAGGCAGGCTTTACCGAAAATCCACGTGAATTTATTGTCCAGAACTTCTCAATCTTGCTTGCCATGGACTTGAAAATATTTTTAAAGGATCCAAATTTCACATTTAAAAAGAGGTTCCACGAGGAGTTGATGATGAGCGAGCACTCAAGGACGTTTCCGTTGTCCTTGTTCATTGCAAAGACGTCAAAGATGTGGATTGATATTTTCGAGCAAAGACAAAAATACCCCAACATTGTCAACTCGATTTTGAACTGGGAACTAATGATTTACTACACCATGAATAATTGTCTCATTCTTTGGCAGGAGACAAAATCACAAAACAACCAAGTTGACATTGACAAGATTTTGCAACTATTGGAATCCTACATTGACTCTTTTGAAGAGCAATTGGGTGGCACAAAGACCATTGAGGAATGTCTTGACATCACTTCCACAAGATCTGGAGACGACATGAGACACAACCAAGCTTTGAAGATCAGCAAAGAATTTACTGACAAGTGGAACCCACGACTTGTTGAATTCAATCAGCAACTTTCCAAAGAGGTGGCGCAATTGGTGTCTGAACAAAGAGTGGTGCAGTTATTGAAAGGATCTTGGGTGTTTACAGAATCGTTTGGAGAAGCGCTCTTCAGTTCTAGAAAGAACCCTTTGTCGTCGAAATACTACTACATTGTGTTGTCGCCCAATAGGAAATGGATATACTTTAAAGACTACAGTGAAAAGCCGAGCACCAAACCAAGCATTGAGGAGTTGGAACAGAGTGGTGGTATCAGATTGAGTGATGTGCATGACTTGAAATCGATCAAAATTGGTGAATCGATTGGGGAGAAGGAAAAGCAAAACAACTCCATGTTGATTTCGATCAAAGGTACCATTTCGTATGAAAAGATTACAATACTAGGGGCAAACAAAACCAAGTTGCTTTCATTTTACACTGACTCCGAAGTGAATCGATTTGTCTGGTTGGATGGGTTGAAAATGTTGAAGGGAATAAAGTCGTTGTCGGAGGAGACTCAAAAGCAAATTGCCTCTTTGATTGAGATTAGAAGGAACACGCAGTCGTTGTCGTTGGAGGGAGCAGCCGTGGAAAGTGACGACGATGATGAAGAGTTTTACGACTATGACGAGTTAAGCGCTCTCGCTGCGAGTGTATAGAATATGCGCTGGTAACTTGTTAAATCTGACAAACAATAGTCACAAATAATAAAAGGCACTCCCCATAGACTGGGTTTGATTTATATGATGAAAGACATGGCTACCTCTAAAATATGTTGACGTGGAATAATGCCACTTTTTCCTTTTTGCGACTTGACATGTAATGTCGCGACAAACAATCAGTAAAACCACAGGTAGTTGTTTCCTAAACGTACAGCTTTGCAAGTAGCAACAGAATGACATCCGCTAGTCATCAAAGCAATGCAGCTTTCGGACTTACCAGCTGAATTGGTTTTGCAAGCACTCCCAGTGAGGGAGTGTCTCCTAAATTGGCCGAGCGATATAGTGATTATGTGTTTGGATTTGTTGTCACAGGTTGAGCTGTTTGAATTAATGGCAGAGGTGGCTTATGGAAGCAACGCGTACAAAGATGCTAGAAGAGGGGATAGCGAAGTCCCCTGGGCTGAGGTACGATGCAATGTTGCTATCTTTGCACGGAGGTTTGCGAACAAAATTTATATCACCATTGGAAACCGCCTTCCATCAAGATTGTACAAAAAGTACATCATTTTCGACCTTGAGGTTGTGAAGGATTTGGCTGCCCAATATTATTTCCTTACGGCAGTATTGCAAATCTGGACGGGTGATGAATATCTGCATCAATATGTGATGTTGCCATACTTTTCGTTCAAGGATCCGTATCCTTACCTGACATTGCGTGTTATCTCCACGCCAGATCCAGAACCCATGCTCAATTGTGGACTATTCAACATAGTTACAGTCAATGCTTTCCAAGTGCTACGAGATCTGTCGATTTGGATGTGGAGTGACAAATTGTGGTCTATTCACACTGTTGAGGTTTGCATGTCAGTGGAGAAATACAAGGAAATTTTTGATTTTACAACAAAGACACGTAATTTGTCATTGGTGGGGAAGCCAGCGCCCATTGATTTGAGAGTTTACATAACAGGGCAAACAATGTCTTCAGGCTTGAGTACTGTTTCAGCTTTCTACATATTTGCAGCGTTCAAGCTTGTTAGAGTAAGAAATTTTTCACTACAATGTAGTGTAAATAACGCAGAATTGACATATCTTGATTTTGTTTTAAACCAAATGCCACTGCTCACATATCTTAATGTCAGTTTTGGGAATTTGGACTTTGCTTGGATTCCAAGGGTGATCGGTTGGCGAGAGTGTTGTGTGCAAGTGACAATTGACAGGGCCTTCTACGAATCGAGACAAGATCAGTGTGATCGAAAATTGTGGGATACATATGTTTTTGATAACGTGGTTATTTTAATGTATGCAACGAGTTGCTACACTAAGGTTCCATTTGCCACCAAATATCCAGAAAGGGAACCCTGCAGCTTATTCA